TTCATCTAGCGCTTGGAATTAAAACTATAGATTATTTTGAGGTTTGAAGGTACTTTCCGATGTGACAGAAAGTTAGTGTTATGTTTGATATTTATGAAATGGCTCGCTTTTCGCTTGAACAAAGTTGGGAAATATTAAAAAGTTATTTCCAAAGTGGTGAGTCTTCTACTCAAACTGTAAGAAATTTGTGAAAAATATTTGACAAAAAATATGTGACAAAAACCGAGTTTGTGAAGCAAGTTCATGAAACTGGATCGTTTTCGGATAAAACAGCCCGTGTATGTACTATGTACGTACTCGTCCATGGCACTCAACCGAAAACATAGCTGCTGTTGGTCAGAATATGCGTGTACAACCATGAACATCAACTTGTTCTCAAAAGTTGAACATGCACTTCTTTGAGAAGAATAAGTGCAAGAGCTTAATACACCATAACCATCCGATAAGTTTTTGATTTGCTCAATGGACCGAAGACCGCTTGATCGAAGATGAGCATCTTTACCGAAAAATCATCTTTTCCTCCTTTCCGATGAAGCTCATTTCTACTTCGGAGGATACTTCAATAAGCAAAATTGTCGTATGTGAAGCTCAGAAAGGCCAAACGTCATCGTACATAAAATGAGAACATCATCATTGTAGTCGAAGTCTGTTAATACGCATTATTTAGGATAACTAAAAAACTACTGATCAGATCTTGATCAAATCTATATGGGATGGAAGTTTTTTAATGCACTGTTATGTCAAACCGCCATAGACGACTGGACCAGTATTATTTTCATAACTACGATAATCTGGTTAAAGATTGACTACTATATTTTTGTTTTATTCTCGAAAATGTTTGGTTTTCTAGGACTGATTTAAAAAAGCAAGAGTACAGTAATTTACTGTTGCACACACGAAATACTACGACTATCTCAGAAAGTTGACGAGGTCTATAAAAAATAATTGACACACAAAAAAGTCAGAGGTTATTTCTAAATCACTTGTAAGTTAACATAAAAGTGAAATTTTAAATTAAATAATTTTTGTTCTTATTTTAAAGAACACAAATCGAAAATTAAGTTCCGTATTAGGATCCTCCTACATAATATTAATATTTTTAAGTTCTACTTTTGTTTGTAATTAATAAACATATTTCAAAAACAACTTTTTTTGTATAATATCAATGACCACAGTTTTAGTGTTGCCATATGCTAATAATACCCGCTTAAAAAGGTACAAAATAACTTTCAATCTCCCCAGTCCGTCCCATCCGTCTCTTGCCGCTTTAAAGAATTGCTTCTTTTATTCTAAACATATTGTTTTATATAATAGTACTTTGTCGTGTATTTGTTTGGGGGTGGGGGGGTTAGTAAGAATATCCACCACCCCATTTTTTATAGGATAGGGTGACAAACGAACACACGGTCCACCAGATGGTAAGTGGTTGCTGCGGCCCATAGACATCTACATCTATCCTCGATTACAAATCAAAATGCAGATGCGTTGTCACCTGTGAGGACTAAGATGGAATGCCTCGTTTCCATTCAAAGTGGCTCCGGTTCTCTACACTCACCATACGAAACACAGCAGCATTAAGCTACTATTTTACGCCGGTATTCTGTGAGAGCGTGGTCTTTCCCGGTCGAGCCGATCCATTCGTGCTACAACTGAGCAGTTCTCAAAAATTTTGTACGGCAAATATTTTTTTCGATTTTTAAAAATGTGTTTGTTTTAAATGATTTTATTAAAGAATTTGCTAAAAGTAATATAAAATTTGAGTAATTTAATGTTTGTTACCAATAAATATATACCATTTAGGAATAAAACAGGTTTATTTCCGAGCATGGCATTACCGTGATCAATTTTGTTACTAAACAAAATTCATTTAATTAAATGTAGTTCTTTGATTATTCCGTGTTAAATATTTTATATGATTACATATGAAGGCATTTAAACCCCAAAAAAAAAATTTACTTGTAAAAGTTTGCTAATTTTTAAATTACAATACAAACATTTTCAACTGTGTTACTTAGGACGAAAACCAAACAATTTTTTTCTATGTATTTTAAAATAAAAATAAAATGTAAATACTGTTTGATGATATACAATTTTTGAATTACAATTTTTCGGCAAGTATTAATAAGTAAATATAATTAGTTAAAGTCCAAAACTAAAATTTTTATCAGTTAAAAACCTTCGTTATTTTTATGGACAGTAACAAAATTGATTATGATTGGTAACCAAGAAATTGTTAAGGCCCATTTACATTGTTAGGAATACTGGTATAATAATTGGATTTAGTTTAATAAACGGAAAATAATAATAGGACTCTTAATTAAAATAAGCAACCCTTTATTTTAAAATTTATGATGTAACATACGGGAAATAGACTTAATTTCTAGAAACTGGTAGATTTCCCTAAATAAAAGAAAACTCTGTCGTTTGCTGTTGTTACTTAATTCATTTAAATGAGAATACATCTCCATTCTCATCAAAATGCAAGGATTTAGTAATATAGATGATATAGAAGTTGATATTTTAAAAAGCAATTTCTAAAAATGCTAAATCTATGCGATTGCATGTCCATTTCAAATCTTTATAAATTTGTTGTAATGATGCTTCTAAGGCTTAATTTATTTATTTAAGGTTTAATAACCAGAGCTATTTCTATTATTCTAGTTTTTTTTTTACTTTAGAATCATTTTCAGTTTAATACTGTACAATCTTTTATTTAGTGCTCCGTAAGATTTACATTTTGTTGAATTTTTTTTTCGTTTTCTTCAAGTAATTTTTGTAGTTTATATAACATTTTGCTGTAATATTTCAATGTCTTGTCGCGCTCTCTTTTTTTATCTTTTTTATTTTCTTGATTCTTTGCCGCTTCTGTCTCTTCCAATGAATGATTGACGTTTTATGATTTTTGTTGATTTTGTTTTCCATTTTGTTTTTCGTCACTAAGCTCAGATTTTTTTATGTTTAACCTTCATCCTTTCTAAATTTTTTCGTCTTGATTCTTCTAACTTTTCTGGTTTATTCTGGCTTATTTCGATAGCGTTTCATTTCTTCCGTGGCAGTTAGCGGTGCCATTTTGTACGATAACCTTAAAATTAAAATCATTTATTTGAGATTTCATTCAGCACAATAACATCTCCATAAAAAACTGTTTAAATAAACAAAAACACGACTTCAATGAAATCTTCGCTTTTGAAAGTTAGGGAGAAGAGGTATTACTTCGTTAAAGTTTGTTTTTCGTTTATTTGAACATTTGTTTCACCATTTTTTATTTAAAAAAACTTTCTATATTATAATTTAAATTTACTTTGGTGATTTATTTAATAAAAAGAGAGAATGGAATATCCTATTACTACCAAAAAAGGAATTATGAAAATCGGTCATGCAATACAAACAAAATAAGTTTTAAATATAACAATACTTTTTACAGGCAAGCTTTTATACGCATACTAAATTTCATTCAGTTGCTATTAACCATTAAGCATTTCCTTCATGAGGAGACACTCCTGTCTGTGACATCGGGTTAAATCTGTCAAAAAACTGCTTTGTCATAAAAACTAAAAGTGCTTGCAAAATTTTAGCTCAATCGGATACCAACATTGAAAAATGGTTTGCAAATTTTGACGGACATATTTTTACTTATATACGAACAGTGCAAGTTAAATAAAATCAAACACATACGTGGTCGATTTGTGTGGTGTTGTTTTTTTTTTTGGAAGTCTGTTTAAAATAAATCATGGCTAAAAACTATGTATGGCATCGCCAACATGAAATTCATTCTGGATTTCAATTAAATATATTCAGTAGATTATACGAGAGCGAAAAACAAATACTTACCTAACGTTAAACATACATTTCATATTCTAATATTTTCTATTCGTTGACAGTAGGCTAATGTATTCGTCCCTTAATGATATCAATTGTGTTACCAATGAGATCAACATATACGTTACCTACTCAAAAGTAACAAAATTGAGGTAACAAAGTTTGAGGTTATGGGATTCTTTACCGCCTAAAAATATTATTTTATTAGCTAACGTTGTAAAAAATAGTGAAAACAAGAGTGAATGCACATATAAATCATTGGAAAAATGTTCTTTTTAATAAAGTACGTACTTACCGTTTAAAGTCCAGTAACAAGTTTGAGTTTAATTGGTACCCACAACACTCGTGCACGGATTGTTTGACACAGAATACATGTCAGCCTACCAATTTAAGATTAAAAGACTTCGACATGGAGAAAAATGTTTACACAGCATTAAAACATCCAAAAAAGTAGTAATTTTTACAAAATATGTGAAATATCATGGTAACAATGTTGATAATCAAAATTGAGTTAAATCTAGGACAACAAAGAAATTGAAAACATTAATAAATTAAATAAGTAAATACATGTACAAAGGTATCATTCTGTAAATAAATAGTGATGTGATTAATCAAAGTGGAAAGATGTACTCCTAAAGTTTTATTTTTTTGGTAAAATCAATTTTCAAATCATGTGATAGGGGATAGGACAATCTACAATCCATACAAAAAAATAAACAGGTTTCAGAAAATAAATATTTTATTATTTTTAAACGCTTCTGGTAGTATTTTATTTGTGATTAATTATATCTATAGATATGACTTTAAAAGATTTAAAAAAATCTGATAAATATGGTGTCTTATATAGTCACAAAATAAACACGAACTTAAAGGACATCTAAATTTAAGGCGGTACAATTTTGGTGAGAACTGCTCAACTATACTACTAATAACCACGTATAAAATTTCCGGTGGATAGCGGTATAACCATCATGGACGGCAGTGTTAAACATGTGACACATCTGACACATATCTTTTTATGGGCCGATGAAGAAGAGGAAGAAGTGCACAGTAAAACGTTAATCACATTTATGGCAACACTAACTACTTCATACACTTTATGCCTAAGCTAAAAGCGATACGAGTTAGTTTTATAATTAGTAGCATACGTTCTTTCTCCCTAATCGTGCGGTTTATACACAATGTTGTTAGCTTTATTATTATTTTCCTCAGTTTTCGAAGCGGTAAGTTCGTTCTTATTAAAAATTATTTATGTTATTAATTCTACACCCACTTTTATTATGTTAAAGTATTGAAGTGTTCGTATTGTAGCGTTGTATTAGCGCAGTTTAAACATATGAGTCATCGCTATAGTTTGAGTAAAATAAATGCCACGAAATATTATATCTGAAAAACGGTGGATTCACTATAATATAATTATTATTATTTATGACAAATTTGCAAAATAAAATAACAAATTTCATCAGAACTATCATTAAATTTGTGTTGTCTATGCTATGTTAAAGTAATATTCTTCCAGTAAACATTTATCGACTAATGTACTTAATAAGAATCACCTTGTAAAAGGGTGATCTTCACCTATTGTTTAATGTCTTCATGTTGTAAATATATGGGATTTGTCCGGGATTCGAATCTTATGGATGCCTCACACGGTCAGTTAAACTGATCATTCCAACTGATATTCGAAAAAACTGTTGATATTTTTTTTAAATAGTGGAGTTTCGATATATCCATATATAAACTTATATATAAAACTCCGATATTATCTAATATACATATATTTATAATGATCGATATATCGAAATTTTGGATTTTCGAGTTATCGATCATTATAAATATATTAATATCGGAGTTTTATATACAAATTTATTTATGGATATATCTAAAATCCGATATTTTAAAAAATATCGACAGTTTTAGTTTGAACTGATCAGTTGGAATGATTAGTATTTAACTGACCGGTGTGGCCATAACCCCATGTCATACAAGGTATCCTTATGAAATTATCTTTCTGTTCTTTTATCGTAATGTGTCTGAGGTTTTGATCAATTTCATAAAAAAAAATAGAAGTTTATTCATTTTCGATATAGACCTCAATCTTATGATTAGAGAAATACTACTTACATGTACAATGATTTACCACGTGCTCGGCGGTGAAGGAAAACATCATGGAGAAACCTCCATGTCTGAGGAATAAAATGATGTAAGGCAATGTGGAATTCGCGTACCTATAACTTAAAAAATGGGGAGGTTCTCAATTCGACTGCATGTTTTTTGTATATTACTCAATATCTTAGTTAATTTTGGGCCTGTTTGAATAATTTTTCTTTTGTCAAATTTATTCTCGACTTGACTCACTGCAAGGAGATGCTGCATCCTCTCGCATATTCTGTCCTTTCTTTCATGGGAAGTACTTAGAGGAATTGTTCGGACTCATTTCAACTGCTAAATTTCCCCATCGCACATCGCGATATTTTTCGCGATACCATCCATATTATCTGGGGGACTGGCGGTCCATTACTTTGTGATTAACCATAAATTTTTTCCTCGCACAAATTCTTTGTTGTGTGCACCATCAAGAAAAAGCCTACCCTTTTTAAAAAGACCTACAACGGACGTGCAATTTCCCCCCTGTGTTGCAATTTTTCATGGGCGGCGGTAGTTATCTACCATCAGATGAACCTCATGCTCGTTTACCCCCTAATAATGTAAAAGTAAAGTAAAGTTACAGCCTATATACGTCCCACTGCTGGGCACAGGCCTCCGCTCATTTCCGAGAGGGTTTTAGGGCAAGGAATTGTCCGCCGCGCTGCCCCAATGCGTGTTGGCGAACTTCACATGTCTTTGAAGAAAAGTTTTATTCTTATTTCTCTGACATGTAGGTTTCCTTACGATGTTTTCCTTCCCCGCCGAGTACGTGGTAAATCAGCACTTTAAATTGCAATTAACAATTTCATTAGTGCCGGAGGGGATCGAACCCGGTTTGCTCGCGTACTGTGAAATTTACAGCGAGCGCTAACCATCTGAGCTACCACAGCTCGGAGGTCATAATGTATACATGTGTATATAAAAAATATATAATGGTATGGTACTCGCCACTACTCGACCAAAACTTGTTTGACGTGCGTATGGTTAAGCATCGCTTCACACCTGAGCGTTACAGTACTCAAGGCAATTGACCCTTTAGCTGCGTTCTGTGCGATGATGAAGGTCACTCATCGCACGATCGCGGGTATATTATTGCCACGTAGACAGAAGGATTGGCAATAATTGCATCTAAATCATGATTAGCTACCAACATTTACCTGAGCATTGTCTGTCAACAATTTTTGTAAGTACCTACTTAGATCCGAGATCACGAGTTTATATAGCACTACGGATAGGGATTTTAAATTCTCCTACGCCACTATAACACGGTGACCATAATCAAATATTATAGTTTTTATAGCAGTGGGCAAACGAGCGTGCGGCTCACCTGATGCTTAGTGTCGACCGCCGCCCACGAACAACTGCAATCTGGGGATTTACAGGTGCGTTGCCGGCCATTTAAAAAGAAGTAAGCTCGTTTCTTCAAGCTTCCTAAGTCGTATCGATCTAGAAAATCGCAGGTGTTAAACAATTTCATAAAAAAATCGTGCGAGGAAGAATACTCCTAGATAATCGCACATTAATGGATCACCAAGAATCCAGATGATGTGGATGGTTCAGGAATTTTGTCGCTGTGTGCGTTGATTGGATTTGGCGGCTAGAATCCGAACAATTCAACGATATGGAAGAATAAAACGATATGGAAGAGCGGTGCTTCCAAGCACGAGCAAGATTATTTGCTCCGATTATTTAAAATTGTATTAGACTTGGTTGCCGAAATAAACTATTTTTATTTGTGTTAAATATTAACCATTTTCAAATTATTTTCAGCTATGCGACAGTACTGATGGCGGGAAAGCGCCAAGGATACTCCTTAATGATGGCAACACCATACCCGTTATGGGGTTCGGCACGTTTTTAGGTTTTGATGAGGTAGGTCATAAAACAGCGGACATAGGACGGCTACGTACATGCTTAGGCTCTTTAACATTCATTTAAACGTGATAGAGCCATACTGCAACTATTTTATGGTTGTAGCACGAATGGGTCGGCTCAACTGGGGTAGGACCACGCTCTCACAGAATACCAGCGTAAAATAGCAGCTCAGTGCTGCTGGAGTGTAGAGAATCGGAGACCCTTTTACTGGAAACGAAGCATTCCATCATAGTCCTCAGGGGTGACAACGCATCTGCATTTTGATTCTTAACCGAGGATTAATGTAGACGTCTGTAGGCCACAGCGTCCACTTGATAAGTGGGCTGTGTGCTCGTTTGCCAACCTTATTCTATGAAAAAAATATCTTCAATATATTGCCAATTTGGTCGATAAACTTAAGTAGTATACTTAAGTTTATCGAACAAATTGGCAACGTATTGAAGATATTTTTTCTTTCTACATTTCGATTCATTCATTCTTTCTAGATTTCGAAATTAATGAAGCATTTTTTTCTTACTTAAGGTGTTTGTGTTATCAGTGTTTAGGAATGATTGTGTCACAAATAATACGCTAATATATTTTTATGATTCATCCTAGAGTGTAAAACGGGCTTACAGTCTATCGGACTCTATTTAAATATTACTAAAACAACATAATTTTTAAAAAGTACTTCTTCGCATTCCTTTAGAAAATGCGTGTCCAGAGTATCTCTATTTTGAGAACTTTCTTTTTCTTTTTGATATTCCATATCAGCTAGTTTTCAGATTTTTTAGAATTTTACCGGAATCATTGTAACAATAAGGCGGATCTTGGCATTCATTTTCAAAATGCCGACCCATAAAATCTGCCGCTCATACCACGGCCCTCACCCTCGGCTTAAATTTAGTAAAGTAATTAGGTATTCATAAAAGGATAATTCCTTACAGAAAGGACAAAAAGAAGTGAAAGAGAACGAAGTTGAACTTCCAGTGATGTGGGCTCTTAACTCTGGATACAGGTAAACCTTTTTTATCTTACGTACGGTTTTTGAACTTCAAGCGACTCTTAACCCTTCAAGCGCCATAAAAATCCCATGCAGTCGCATGCGCTCGGCAAATCCCGAGCGGTCGCATGCGACCGCACCCACCCACAGCACTTAAAAACATTGAAACTTATATTTAGAGACTACTTTTCTATGAAGAAGTCAATTTTTACTTCATTACAAAAAGATTTTATTGTATTTAGATAACAAAAAAAACATACCAAGCGAATGTCGGCAGCGTGAAAATCACAATTATTTCAATATATATTACTCGAAATTATTTACGTAAAATGATAAATTATATTCACACATAAACTTTCATTACAATTTTGTAATAAAACACTAAACTAAAACACTAGAAAAATCCAAAAATCAACACAATAGCATTCATGCGAAAATGGCGTACGTAATGAACATAGATTATAAATAAATATACATAAAATAACAGATTTTTTATTGCACTAGAGGATAGAAAATTTCATATTGATTATATAATGCTAAACTTCTTCATAGAAAAGTAGTCTCTATATATATAAGTTTTTATAGGTTAAAGTGCTGTGGGTGGGTGCGACCTCATGAGACCGCTAAGGATTTGACGGAATATGGCCGCGGTCACATGGGACCGCTAAGGGCTTGAGAGGTTAAAAAGAAATCTATAGTAACGAAGTAAAGTAGTCAGTTTCTCTGATAGAAAGTACACTATTTCAGAATAATATAAGGTATGTTTTATCGTGATATAACATTGTACTAGAGAATGTACCAATTAAAATACCGTTATCGTTACAGCCTATCAAAGTCCACTGCTGAAACTATGCCTCCCCTATAGCCTGCCTCATAGGGGGTACATTTGCTATAGTTACCAAGCTTGACAAGCGGGGTAGCAACCGCAGGTTATTCATATTTAGTCGTTATTTGAAAGAAGCTGCTGCCCAGCTCCTGATTTGTTTCCCTCCGTCGCCTCTTACGACACCCGCGGGATGATATGGGATAGTGGATATTCTTACACCGACACTACACGGAGCAATTAAAAACAAGTGCAACAAAATATTCATCTTTCGCAATCTAATCCATCGTTCAATTTAAACGGAATTGAACGTCGATTAGAAAAGGGAATTTCTTTTCAAAGAAACAGATGTTAAAAACACTAAACTAAATTTAAAAAATCAACACTCACCTACTTCTCACCTTTTCTCTTTTCATCAAAAGAGTTAATATACTCATACTTTGCTCCTCTTTCAGTATGATTCATGATTATACTCAATCATCGTCGTTACAGCCGTTTCCAAGCCTACTGCTTATAGGCTTCCCCAAAAGAATGCTACACTATGTGGTTTGGGATCACCTCCAACCATCGTACTTTCAGCATATCTTAGCTGCCTTACACTTCGCTTACAAAAGGAGACTACCACTCGAGATCCCTCTTTCCCAACCGTAGTTGGTCCTTCAAGCCATATGGCGACTTCAGGTTACTGATATGTTGGGCTATGTTGGTTACTCTGGTTCGCCTGCGGATATCATCGTAGGCTTCCTATACAAACTCTTCATCATTTCGATACCCAATAGCTAATATAACATCGCTGAGGATACCGTAACAACGTCCAAATTTCGACGGAATCTATACTTTTCCCATAGACTTCTATACAATTTGCCGAAGGGTATTTATGTGTGCTATGATACTAAAGACAAGATAAAGGTGACAAAACAAGGTGACGTTACAGAGTCCACCTAATGTTAAGTGAATGTTTACATTCTGTCATCGATTAAGAATCAAAATGCAGATGCATTATCACCAGAGATCGAAATAGGGTGTGTGAGCTGCTAAGTGAGCTGTTACAACCACTTAAGTTAAACCGGTTTTGAATTTTGAAAAACTGGTTCAACTTAAGTTGTTGTACAGCTCCAAGTTATGTCCCGCTGCAAACTTTAGGTAGTTTCACACATTCTATTCCAATCTCTGATTATTACCCTTGTGGACTAAGATAGAAAACCCCGTCACTAGTAACAAGGCCCTCCAATTCTTTACACCGTGTAATAAAGTATGGCTCTACAACTTAAGTTTCTGGTTTCTTTGAGCGTTCTCAAATACTCTCTCATATAATTACGACGCATTACAGATTAATAGACACGGCTGCACTGTATCACAATGAGGAACAAATCGGTAGAAGTGTTCAGAAGTCATCGGTGCCGAGAGAAAACGTTTTTATAGTCACCAAGGTAAGGCTTCTACTAAATCCCATAGCAATAAATAACTTCTCCTTCTTCGTCTTCACCAATTGAAAAGATGATTTGCTTTAATCGTCATGGAGGCAGGTGAATAGACCTTCGCAGTACCAGACGTTACTCACCATTGATGTTGCTTACTGTTTCCTAAATGGGTATTGTACGTCTGGTGTAAACGAGTTAACAAAAACATTTTGGTATCTCCCATAGTCACCTTTTGTGACAACCGTGGGAAGAAATGGGGTCATGAAATTTTTACGCCCCAATCACAAGGTATTTTTACTCGATTAAGAAAAGATTGCTTACTTAAAAATATAGCCGATGAAGAATCGAATCCAATAATAATATGCTATTCATTTTATCCAAAAAATACCTATGTATAAATAATGATTTCTTAATCGACACGAATTTAGTTTAATAAACGCGATAAAATCCGTAAATTTAGTTTTATTCACTATGTATAAATGGATATCGCTAGAAAAAATGAGAAATCGAATGTCAAAGATTCTTCCCGGCAATAAATTATATTTTGTTTTATCTCGGTTAATACAGAGTATTTTAAAAATTCATTAGATTAAGAATTAAATTGAGTGTTTCACGTATGCGAATATTTTTTCCGAGCATATAGGTTTCAAGAAGTATCATTTCTCGCGCGTCAAAATCGTGTCTAAAATACGATATTTTGTCGTATCAGGCCTTAAAGTAACATAGGCCTCCCCCATAGATTGCCTCACAGGGGGGATTTTGTCATAGTTGCCATGCTTGGTAGGCGGATTGGTAACAGCAGTATTTTTTTTATTTTAAGTTGTTATCACGAAGATGCTCTCGCCCGCTTCCTGTTTCAGATGCACTCTGTCGCCTTTACGACGATAAAGGCCTGATAACGAGGCAACTCTCAATGCATTTTATTTGTTTCAGCTTGCTGTAAATGAACAAAGACATGTTATTGACTCTCTACGGGCTTCATTGGCTCGTCTCAACACGTCATACGTCGACCTCTATCTTATTCATTTCCCTGTGGCGTTTAAGGTACTTAACAGTCACTAACAGGTAGATATTATTAGCTTTATAGAAATCTTTTAGATGTTCATATTTTATGACAGATTTTAAATTCAACATAAGATACATAATACACTCACGCCATTAACCAAGAGGGGTAGGCAGAGACTACGGACTTCCGTTTGGCACAATCCTGACACACCTCTCTCGCCTATATTACATCCTTATACCTACGCATACGTGCTTCATATTCCGGCCCATCTTCAATATATCCCCAATTACGTCGATAAACTTTTGTCTAAGGCCAACCTTCCTGACTCTACTGTTCACATCTGCAAAATAATTTTGTTTTGTCACCCTTTCCTCGTTCATTCTTTCTATTTGACCAAACCAACGAGGCATTCCTTACTCATCAACAATCAACATTCTTAATCATACGACTAAGGATGCTAGCTATGAAAATAGATAAAGTTTACTAGTCTAACTGTTTCAACACTGGTAATATTTCTGATCTTTTTTACAGCATATGCTGCAGAACTAAGTCTAGTTAGTTAGTTTTAGTTCTGCTAGATTTGGTATATGAGGCCCCATTGGAGCTGGTCACAACATCATCTTGCAAACCACACTTTTCTCTTATCATACAATTTCAAGATATTAAAACGGATACTACTTCTACCACTGCTATCACTACAGCCCACCACAAGTCCACTGCTGAACAAAGGCATCCCACATAGGTTTCCACAAAGTGCGGTCCTGAGCCACCTGCATCCATCGAATGCCTGCGTACCTTGTAAGTCTTAAGTCGCCCATCACTGCACTTGCCAGTACGAGGTTGCCATTAGAAAACCTTTCCTCCCCATCGGTTGTCAATTCTCGACTCGAATAGCTCGACTATATGACCAACTAATTGCCACGTCAGCTTACTGATCCGCAGGACTTAGGATAGTTGATGTTGTTCTTCTGTGTATATCTAAGAAGAAATAAATAAAAAAGAATATAATTAAAAAGTGTTACAATATAATCGTTCGAAAATTAATTAAGAAATTAAAATTCAAGCGTTTCCTGGATTTGATAGTGTTAAATATGTACCTACTAGTGGACGCCTAGATATCGTAATACGACCGTAATTAAAAAAATTGTATACTAATTTATATATTAAAGCTATTTACGCTTTCTTGCCTTGATTAACCTACACTTTATACGTGGTAGGGCCACGGTGCAGCTATATTAAAGTTGTAGCACTAATGGGTCGGCTTGACCGGGGTAGTACTGCTGTTTTTTTTGTTTTTTTTTTATAGGATAGGGTGATACACTAGCACACAGTCCACCTGATGGTAAGTGTTGCTGCGGCCCATAAACTTCTACATCTATCCTCGATTACAAATCAAAATGCAGATGCGTTGTCACCCGTGAGGACTAAGATAGAATGCCTCGTGTCCAGTAAAAAGGGTATCCGGTTCTCTACACTCACCATACGAAACACAGCAGCATTAAGCTACTATTTTACGCTGGTATTCTGTGAGAGTCCTTCCCAGGTCGAGCCGACCCATTTGTGATACAACTATACTACTAATATAACTACAGCATGGCTCTACCACGTATAAACGTTTTGTATTGTAAATATAGAGAACCGGAGGCCCTTTTCTACTGGATACGAGGCATCCCATATTAGTCTTCAGGGGCGACAACGCATCTGCATTTTGATTCTTAATCGAGAACAAATGTCGATGTATATGGGCCACAGCATCCACTTACCATCAGGTGGACTGTGGGCTCGTTTGTCACTTTTATTCTATAAAAAAAGGACTCTTACTAACTAAGTTACCTATAATGTATTAAAGTGGTAAACGATATAATTATACACCAAATGGTAAGTGTAAATGTATACGGCAGCCCATAGACACGTGCGTGATAGAATTCGGAAGATTATAAATGCGTAAAAATATAAATGTCTCACAAGACCAAGATGAAATGTCTCAGAACCTGTTATAAGCCATAATAAAGAAGAAAGAAAGAAACACGTTCATTTCAATGTAGCACAAAACATAAATAACATAGACAATAATAGGTAAAGAGAAAAATAAAATTTAAGAAAATACCAGAGTAAAATAGCAGCTTAATGCTGCAGATTGGTAGATGGTGAGTGTAGAGAACCGGAGATCCGTTTTAATGGAGTCGAGGAATTACACTTTAGGGGTACAACGCATCTGCATTTCGATTTTTAATCGAGGTTAAATGTAAAACTCCACACACTGTGGGAAAAAGAACATTTGAAATCTCACAAAATTCATTTTACAATAATTCTTTGGCGACAATCTCTACTCTGTGTTACTATTTAATCACAGGCACAACCAACATACACATATTATGCAATGGCAATGGGCCAGCCACTCCGTTCGAAAAACCGACAACTGATGGAGAAGCAAGGTTCTTGAGTGGCAGCCTCCTACCGATAGGTGTTATGCGGGGCGACCACCCGCTAGTTGGCGTGACGACCTGGTAAGACATGCAGAAGTAGATGGATGTGTTTAACTCAGGACCGACCGTGCTTTGTGGCATTCTCTGGAGGAGTCCTTTTTTACACGAGGAAATGCCTACGCATACCCACGTCGCGGGGTAAGGACAATTTATATCAGACGCACCGACTAATACTCCATGATGTTTCACATTCGCCGCATATTAGCAGAGCCACGGGAATGCTTCCACACACATCCGCGGCCCCACCAGCGCTGGCCGCCCCATCGCAGTGCCTCCTCGGGAGAGGACTTCTCATGCCCATTCTCCTTCTCAGACAAGGCGCACCAGGAACACAAGGCGTGCCTTCCTCCACGGTACCAACTCCACCTGCATAAAGGACTCTCTGGGGAGGCATATGTTCAGCAGTACACTGAAGGGCTGTAATGATGATTATATATAACTAATAAACTTTATATAAATAAACTTTAACTACTCCAAATATTGAATAAAACTATTATTTACGGAGCATAGAACAAATTTACAACACTACAATTGAATAAAACTATTATTTAAGGATTTTATCGCGTTTAATTCAACTTTAATTTATTTTTATTATCCCGACGGTTCGGGTGCTTTACAGCACCCGTGGTCACGGGGGGACTGAGATGTTTCATGATACTATAAGCTCATTTTGCGTAAATCGGACCAAAAATTAATATTCAAAAACTGAAGGTAGCCGGACTAACTATGACATTGGGACGTCAAACATCTCAGTTCCCCCCGTGACCACGGGTGCTGTAAAGCACCCGAAACGTTGGGATAATAAAAATAAATTAAAGTTGAATTAAACGCGATAAAATCCTTAAATAATAGTTTTATACAATTTGTAGCGTTCGCGTAAATTTAAGAAATCATTACTTCAATTATCACACTCCTCCGAGCGTACAATATGCTTAAACAATGTTAAAAAGTTTTCCCTTTACGTATTAATATGAATAAATGTTACGTCACCACACGTAATATCTAATATTACCATATTCCTTACAGCCTGACCATAGCGGCTTCGATGTTGTGGACTACTTGGACACGTGGGAGGGTATGGAGGAAGCGAAAAGGCTCGGACTGGCCAAGTCCATTGGAATCAGCAACTTTAACATCAGCCAGATCGACAGACTCCTTGCCAACTGCGAGATAAAGCCAGCCGTTTTACAAATAGAAGTAAGTACAACCTATCAAAATATATATAAAATCTATAAAATCACTCCACTTTCCTGAAAACATCGAAGTCAAAATTTTCGCGAATTCGTGTTCCTTCCTTCAACTGGAAAATTCCATTTTTAGCAGTGAAGTTTAATTTATTTATTCAATCTTCGTTACAATATACTTTAATCTAAGGGATATAAGGGGCGGAATTAATGCTTAAAAAACATTCTCTACCAATCAATCCTGGAAAAAAATATAAATAAAAGTTTGTTAGGTGCTAAAACGCTGTTAAAAATATCTTGCATATGATGTAGGTAAACATAATACGCATACATATTAATATAAAATAAATTATGAACAAAAATAAAATATAAATACGAGGTCAGATGGGGTTTTCTACGAGATAATAATGTCGAACCAGTTTCTTAAACGTATGCTTATTCGGCGCTTTTTCTTATCTATCAACGGGCAGGGCGTTCTAGAGAAGTATTGCCTGAACCATAAATGAAGCATTAAAGAAACCGGTGATGGGGTGCGATTGGTATGCTGAGGTATATAAATCACAATCTTTCACGGGTAGATGAAGTTGAACCGCTCTACTACTCCAATGCGTGTTGGCAGATTTCACATGACCTAGAAAACATTTTATTTCTCAGATATGCTGGTTTTCTCACGATGTTACTGACGGATCACGGAAGTGACAAAACACAAAAAGTTCTAGCGCTGAACGCGGCGGGTTTAAATCTCGCACGAAACAAGAATTTGTATAGCATCTTTGTTCCGGGTCTGATTGTTTGTCCCCGTGAAGTTTGTGTCCGTAAACTGTCCCACGATTCAAGAAAAAATCCTAGTGTGGAGGTAACGTTCTAAAAATAAAGGATTTATACGTGGTAGAGGCATGCTGCAGCTTTGTATGGTTGTAGCACGAATGGGTCTGCTAAACTTCTTCTTCTTTGCCTCTAGTGCTTACGGAAAGCAGACGTGTTTGTGAAATAGTATAAAATATTAAAATTTTAACATTAGTTTGACAGTTAAAAGTGACCCTTACGCCCATATTTCTAAAGTCTGATTACTTAAAAAAGTGCATAATAACAAAAGTACACAGTGGCACATACGCAGCCCCGCTCAGTAGGTACCGTGAGTAACGAAAACAGCTGCCTTTTCCATTGCATTCGCACTCGTACGAAGACTTTGCATACGACGACGCGACGCATCACGCAATGAATCTACAGAAAACACCGCCTAGTGGAATATTGATAAGCGGGAGCGGAAGCGCCAGCGGGTCGGTGCCTAATTTACCCACTCATAGTGACAAGGATTTTCATTCCAATGTGTCTCTGAGAAAAAGAAAGGAACGCATTGATGAAATAGACTATAAAAAAAGATTTTGCAAGCTTTCGTACAGACATGATGAAGTTCTTAGAAGAATTCGGAAAAACACAAAATGAGAATCTGAAATACATACGTGAAGAAATATCGGAGATTAAAAATGAAATAAAAACAATAAAATCAACAACAAAAAACTTTACACAACGATTTGAACAAATAAACTCTGAAATAGAAAATATTAAATACAATCATACTGCTACTCAAAACCAAATAAAAAACATAGAAAGTGAAATAACCCTGATAAAAGATAAACAACACATTGAAAGTTCAACGGATAAATCGCCCGTCTTGTGCCACGAAAACCTCATCCTTGAACTCAAAGACCGATACGACCATGAGAAAAACATCATTATTGTGGGTATACCCGAAATAAATGAAAAAAATTCAAAAGTGAGACGAAATCACGATAATGAAGAAGTTATGAAGTTGTTGATATCATTACATGAAAACTGCCCAAAACCAATTAAATGTATAAGACTAGGGAAATATGTTTCAAACAAAAGCCGGCCTATAAAAGTTTTCTTTAACAATATAGATACTCCGAAATATCTCTTACGGAATAAAAAGTACCTAGCCGAAAATCTTAGTATTTACTCAGATCAAACGCCAGTTCAAAAACAGTATTTAAGGCAATTGAAGGAAGAATTAAAGAAACGAACAGAAAAAGGCGAAAAGGACCTTGTTATTAAATATATAAAAGGCACACCTTCAATTGTTATAAACAAAACCCATCAAAAAAACCCATAATGGCTTCACCACAAACCGGAAAAAATACGGATAGATTAAGCCATCAATTAGTAAACAATTACGAAAACATTCCATTGCACCCGTCCTCCTTAACATTTTTTTATGCTAATTTACGTAGTATTCGCAAAGCTGGGAAACTCGACGAAATAAAATGCATATTAAAAGCAATACCGATGACTACACATTTATTAATTTTTACTGAGACATGGATTACTTCGGAAACCGACGCAAAATTATATCAGATACCAAACTATAAACATATTTACAATTATAGACAAAATTACAAAGGTGGTGGCGTTCCAATTTACGTACATAATAGCATAAAATACGATATAACGGAAGAATTGTGTGAAAATGGAAACCACTACTTATGGATATACATAGATAAACTATCTTTAAACATCGGTGCAATATACAAACCTGGAAGTTCTAATGTAAACAACTTTTTAGAAACATATTTCTCACAGTTGGAACGGAGGAGAAGGGCGATTGTGTTTGGAGATTTTAACATTGATCTACTTAATACAAATAGTAACGTCACAAAATACCTAGCTGAAATAAAAGAAATTGGATATGAAATATTGAATAAAATTAATAGGCTGTACAGTACTCGTGAAACCACCACCACAAGCACTATACTGGACCATGTATGTACGAATATAAACAATCACTCATTTAGTTTCTCAATAATTGAATCGTGCCTATCTGATCATAAGCAGATATTTCTTGAAATAAGCAACTTAACAACAAAGACACATAAAAGAGTTCAATATATGGCGCTTGATTACGAAAAGTTATACAACACTACTTTAAAAGCCAAATACACTAATGAAGAAAATGACTATTACTACCTAGAGAGATTTATGTTAGAACAAATAAACAAAAATAAAGTAAGCAAGACAAAAATTCTTAACCCTCCACAAAAAAGACTGGATAAACCGAGATATTATAAACTCAATAAATTTACGAAACAACTTATGGCAGCAGACTAAATCTCACCCAAAAGACGATAATCTACAAAAAAACTTAATTAAAGAGCAGAACAAAGTGAAAAACCTTATCAAGACACACAAGAAAATCTACTATCATAAGTTATTTCATAACAATTACAATAAACCTAAGAAAATGTGGGAGATAATTAATAACTTAGCGTTAAACAAAATTAGAGACAGCAGTGCTCCTCCCAAACTAATATCGAATACTGAACTAATAACAGAAGGTATAGTGATAGACTCAGAAATGAGGATATCCGCAGTAAAACCAGAGTGACCGACATAGCCCAACGGATTAGTAAGCTGAAGTGGCAATGGGCCGGCCATATAGCTCGAAGAACCGATAACCGATGGGGAAGAAAGGTTCTCGAGTGGCAGCCTCGTACCGGTAGGCGTAGTGTAGGGCGACCCCCCACTAGATGGAGTGACGACCTGGTAAGACATGCAGGAAGTCGATGGATGCAGGTGGCTCAGGACCGTGCTTTGTGGCATTACTTGGGGGAGGCCTATGTTCAGCAGTGGACTTGTGAAGGGCTGTAATGATGATGATGAACAGAAGGTAATTCAATATGTGACTTATTTAACTCATTTTTTCTCCTCAATAGGTTCGGACTTGGCTAACAAAATTCCTAATAAGTATCACATAAACAGCGATAACACGCTTATGTACGAACTTAACTACACGCATGAAATAACACTTAGTGAACTTACACCCTGTAATATCACAAAAGTATCAAAAATAATCGACGATCTTGATACCAACACTAGTACTGGTCTAGATGGCATCAGCACCAAAACGATAAAATGTCTGAAAATTATAATTGTAGAGAGGCTAAAGAACTGCATAAATATGTGTTTGACACGCGGTGTTTTTCCCGACACACTTAAAATTGCTAAGGTCAGTCCTATTTTTAAATCCGGAAGTAGGACTGACCCAAGTAACTACAGACCAATCTCTGTCTTGCCTGTTATATCAAAGATATTTGAACGAATACTTTGTAACCGCCTTAATGAATACCTAATAAAAAAGAAGTTTTTAATTGACCAACAATATGGCTTTCGTTCCAAATCGAGCACTCTGACAGCTGCAGTAGACTTAATCACAGAAATTAAAACTCAAATCGATCAAAAGAATATCGCTTTAGGGATTTTTATTGACATAAAAAAAGCATTTGACACAGTATGCCATCATAAATTGTTGCAGAAACTAAACAACATAGGCGTTACAGGTAAGGCCCTCGAAATGTTTACATCGTTTTTACATAATAGGCGACAAGTTGTTCAAATGGATAATTTTACCAGCTCGATTAAAAACGTATCCTACGGCTGTCCTCAAGGCTCAATTATAAGTCCATTATTGTTTTTAATCTATATAAATAATATAAACAAATTAGGGCTAAGAGGTCACCTAACATTATATGCCGACGACAGATGTCTCTTCTATTTCGATAAATCTATTCACAACATTATGACCTATGCTCAAAAAGATCTTGACTTACTCGGAGAATGGTTAAAATATAACTTGCTAACAATTAATATGTCAAAAACATCTTTCATGATTTTTTCTACAAAGAATAAACCTTTACCAGAGTTTGCACATCTTACTATTGAAGATAAAATAATAAAACGTTCAACTCAGGAAAAATATCTAGGTCTATTGGTAGATGATAAACTCACTTGGAGAATGCATATCGATCACGTCAAATCAAAACTGACGTCATTACTATGTGCACTACGTAAAGTCGCAAACTGTATCCCGGAAAAGGTTCGTACAATCATATATAACTCTTTAGTTAAATCACATATCGAATATCTAATTGAGATATGGGGATCAGCTGCTAAAACAAATCTAAATCCACTTCAAAGGACACAAAATAAAATTATCAAAACATTATTCCACTATCATTATCTAACGCCAACAAAAGTACTATACGAAAAAACTAACTTGCTAAACCTTACACAATTATACATTTTTTTTTTTTTTATTACCTATATAAAAAAAAAAAAAATATACATTTATTGCACTTGCATTCTAATAAAAAAACATTACCACTAATTTTATTCAATCAAACATACAATTACATAAAAAAACAACAACACACAACTTAAGAAGTAAAAATAAACTACAATTAATAACTACACGAACTAATTATGGCAAAAAAACTTTGTTGTTTGAGGGAGCACAGCTGTTCAATAAACTACCAGATGACATAAAAATTGCAATAACATAAAATTGTTTAAAAGTAAACTTAGGAAATACGTACGTACAGTGTAATCTTTTCTGACATAGTAAATAATCTTAATCTTATATCTCATAGTAAATAAGCTCAAAACTATAACACCTCCAGCACTAGAGGTAGATGCGATAGTTTTACTTTAGTATATAATTACTTTGTATCTCATTTTAAGTGAACCATTGTATGTTCTTATGAGAAATAAATTTCTTTAAACCGAAACCGGGGGGATGATAACGCTCTCATAGAATATCAGCGTAAAATAGCAGCTTAATGCTGCTGTGTTTCTTATAATGAGTGTAGAGAACTGCAGACTCTTTTTACTGAAAACGGGGCATTCAATCTTAGTTCCCAGGGGAGAAAACGCATCTGTATTTTGATTCTCATCCGAGGATAAAAGTTGATGTCGATGGGTCACTGCATACATCCACTGCGTCACCCTTATTACATAAAAAAGTGGTCTAGGTGCGACCCGAAAGGTCCCCACGACTAACTTTCCAGTGGAAAGAATAAAATAATATCACATGTTTTAATATTTTATACAATTTTTCTTTCGGCACAAAAAATGACTTGACCGATTTTGCTCAAAATTTAATGAGGTCTAAGTTACATAATTTCTCTTGTAACAAGAGAAAGCGGTGAGCTGAAGTTAGGGAAATTTGGAATAGGGCAACGGAACCCAAGGGGCCAGCAGGTGGCCGACTTCATGGAGAAAGAGGGACTCTTTATGATGAACTCTTTCTTCCCGAAGCGGCCCCACAGGAAGTGGACCTGGTCGAGCCCCGACAGTTCGACAAAAAATGAGATTCACTTCATTATGACAACTAGACGCCAACTGTTCAGTGATGTCTCAGTGATCGCGAGGGTGTAAACTGGCAGCGATCACCGAATGGTTAGAGGCACACTGAAGCTAAACGTTAAGTTGGAGAGGTCTCGTCTAATGAAGTCAACGCTCCGTCCCCCTCGTACACTGATCCAGAATCCCGAAACTTTTCAGCTCGAGTTACAAAACCGCTTTCAGTGCCTAGATGACTGCAATACAGTGGACGATATGAATGACAAGCTCGTGGAAACTGTCCATGCGGTCGGAGCTAAGTTCTATAAGACCCGCCGCAAAAAAACACAAAAACTCTCCGATTACACTCTTAATTTCACGGAGGTTAGACGGGAGATGAAGCTGCAGTCGTCAGCAGATTTGACAGCATACAGGCAACTGAACAGACAGATCTCCAAATGCATGCGGCAGGCCTTACGCAACTTCAATACAGCTTGTATTGAAGAAGCTATTGAGCGGAACGAGGGCTCCAAAGTCTTTGCCAGAGATCTGTCTGCCGGAAAGAACCAAGTGCCAAAACTGAAGACTGAGTGTGGTGGCATCGTTTCTGAGACAGCTGAGATTTTGAGAGAGCTTGAGTGTGGCTCCAACGATGATGTGTACAACTGCCCATAGAACCTCTCAATCTCACTCAAAATCTCAGGTGTCCCGGAAACGATGCTGCCACACTCAGTCTTCAGCTTTGACAGTTGGCTCTTTCTGGCAGACAGATCTCTGGCAAAGACTTTGGAGCCCTGGTTCCGCTCGATCGCTTCTTTAATACGAGCAGTATTAAAGTTGCGTAAGTCTCGCCGCATGCATTTGGAGATCTGTCTGTTCAGTTGCCTGTATGCTGTCAAATCTTTTGATGATTGCAGCCTCATCTCCCGTCTAAAAGCCATGAGATTAAGACTGTGATCGGAGAGTTTTTGTGTTCTTCTGCGGCGGGTATTGCAGAACTTAGCTCCGACCGCATGGACAGTTTCCACGAGCTTGTCATTCATATCGTCCACTGCATTGCAATCTTCTAGGCACTGAAAGCGGTTACGTAACTCGAGCTGAAAAGTCTCGGGATTCTGGATTAGAGCACGAAGGGGACGGAGCGTTGACTTCATTAGACGAGACCTCTCCAACTTAACGTTTAGGTTCAGTGTGCCTCTAACCATTCGGTGATCGCTGCCGGTTTTCACCCTTGCGATCACTGAGACATCACTGAACAGTTGGCGTCTGGTCGTCATAATGAAGTCAATCTCATTTTTTGTCGAACCGTCGGGGCTCGACCAGGTCCACTTCCTGTGGGGCCGCTTCTGGAAGCAAGAGTTCATCATAAAGAGTCCCTCTTTCTCCATAAAGTCAGCCAGCTGCTGGCCCCTACGGTTCCGTTGCCCTACTCCATATTTCCCTAACTTCAGCTCACCGCCTTCTCTTGTGCCTAGTTTTACGTTGAAGTCTCCCATCAACACCGTGTAGTGGGTTTTGGAGGAATGCATGGCTCTAGAAATATCCTCATACATTTCCTCCACCTCCTCATCGGGATGTGCCGAGGTTGGTGCGTAGACCTGTATGACCTTCAGCGAATACCGTTTGGTGATCAGGTATCCTCGTCGACAAACTCCCAATCTTTACAACGTTGTTGACGAGAGACTTGTGGACGATAAATCCGACACCTCCTTGGGACAGATGGTCGCCCTCCCGGTGATAGAACAAGTTGCCGGACTCGAGGATTACCGTGTCCTCCCCCTCTCTTCGGACCTCAGATAATCCAATAATATGCCAACGCGGCTTGTCTACCTCTTCTTCCAGCTCCAGTATCTTCTCGTCAGTTCTCAGGGTGCGTGCGTTATACGCTGCCAGGTCGAGTCGTCGTAGGTGGCAACCGAACCACCACCGGAGATTCTTAGCACCCCCTGCCCCGCCGTTACCATGGTCGCCACCGTAGCCAGGAATAGCGGGGCCACCGGGGACTGGGGGCTGTTTATTTGCGTCGTTGCTCATGGGGGGATATTTGCCATAGTTGCCACGCTTGGTGAGCGGGTTGGCAACCGCAGTTTTTTATTATGTTATTGTTGTTATTAGGAAGATGCTGCTGCCCAACTCCTGCCTGTGTCCCTCTGTCGCCTCTTACGACACCCACGGGAAGATATGGGGTAGTGGATATTCTAACCCGCTATTATATATTCTATATATATATATATATATATATATATATATATATATATATATATATATATATATATATATGTGTATGTGTATAAATTAAATGTTTTATTTACTAAAAAGCTTACTAAAGATACATAAACATAGGCTATTCACAAGTTACATAATTATGCGTTAAATGAAACTGGTCCCATGTCAATATTATTCTTTGTTCTCGAGATACACGAGGCGAAAATTGAATACGAAGATACATACATACATACGTACATGTGCACACACAAACCATACTATTCGACTCTAAAGACCTTGAAACGTGGAGATATATTAAAATTTCCAATTTGCAAAATCGGACCCATTACAATAACTTCCGACTGGGAAGTTAAAAATCGCTTCGCCCCTGAGATACAACGGCCTCTTAAATATTGTATTTAACTTTAACACTATTATTCTAGGTTAACTTAAATCTGGCGCAAAACGAACTGATGAAGCGCGCAAAGAAGGATAACATAGCTGTAATGGCATATTCGCCATTTGGGTCTCTATTCAGCAAAAGCGATATCCCGCCGCCTCCAAGGAAGGACCACCCTGTTCTCGTTCAAATAGCCAACAAGTACGGGAAGACCACGCCGCAAATAGTTTTGAGATATCTTGTAAGTTGATAAATATTTTATAAAGGTTTTCTAGTACTCTCTTTCTGGTTAGAAGTTCTCCTGGGACGGCGTGGTGTGGCGTACATTACACACTCATGCAGGCGTCAATCAATTCCATCAATCATGATTGATAAAAAACGGATGGTGACTGAATTACACGGAAGGTTGTTCGTCAATCGCAACCGTGATTGTTGTAAAACTGACAGCCTGCATGACCGTGTAATGTAATGTACGCCTAAGTCTAAGTAAATTAGTTTAATGCTAATATTTAGTATTTAAATGGAACTAAAACTAAATGTATGAAATTTATAGCTCCGAATATCAAATACCTTTATACTAATGGCATTTTAAATGGGAAGAGACCAATCTTGTCCACGCCATTTTTCTTGAAATCATACTAGACGCAAAGCTTCAATTGGACCCCCATATATCAAAACTAGCTAGCAGACTTAGTTCTTTAGCATATAGTGTTGAAACAGCTAGACTACCTTACTTTAGCTATTTCCATTCAATTTCACGGAAGAGGGCCATTAGAGTAATGAGCTATGATTTAAAACCTAGAGTCACTCACAAAAAAAAGTTTAAGAAATTAATATATTAACTTTGGCCTCTCAATACATTTATGAAAATGTAATATATGTACACAACAATAAAAGTAGTTTTACAAAAATAATTGATATTTGTTTTGTAAATACTAGGAACAGACACAAGCTAGTAGTACCAGTTACTCGACTCCATCGAGTCAGTAATTTAAAGAACCCCTGGGAAAGGTGATCGCTACCAAGCTATTTCTAATTTTTGTGTTGTTAATTGAATGTTGTAGCACATATATTTTTAGTAAGTTAATAGTTGTATAAATTACATTAAAAGAAAAGATAAAGGGTGTAGTAACAACCTTTGCGTTTGGTGGTATTAACTTCATCTTTTTCTTGTATATGGTTACAAAATCATACATGTGGGATCCAAACAAATAACAAAGCACACCTTCTATTTTGTGAATTTGATTTCAATCGGTCAAGTTGTTCAAAAATTACACGATCACTAACAACAACAGCAACCATAGTAACAGCATACATTGGTTGTTTGTTGTTATTATATAATATAATCTATTAAAAGCGACAGTAGTCTAATGGCAGGGCGCGGACTGCGAACTCAAAAAGGTCGTGGGTTCGAATCCGCTATTCGACTACTGGCGTGAACCACTCGTAACACAAGCAAATTAAACTTACCACTTAGTTAAGGGGAATAATAGTAATGTTTATAGCATTGTTAATATTCTTTATAATATATTATAGAGAGAAGAAATTATATAGTAATAGACATAGGGCGGTTTTTTAATAGAATAAGGCTGACAAATTAACACACAGTCCACCTTGTAAGTGGGTGCTGTAGCCCATAGACAACTACATTTATTCCGATTAAGAATCAAAACACCAATGCGTTGTCAACCCTGAGGACTAAGATGTAATGCCTCGTTTTCATTATAAAAGTTCTCCGGTTCTCTACACTTTCTATACGAAACGCAGCAGCTTTAAGCTGCTATTTTACGCTGATATTCTGTGACCACGTATATAAATATATAGACTTGCTTCTAATACACGCTCTCACACCATTCAAAACATTTCACACCAGCGTGAAACGTTTCGAGTGGTGAGTGTCGACATCCTTTGACACTTTTTACTCGAAATGAGGCAGTTCATCTTGTCTCGAGGGTTGACAACGCATCTTAATTTTGATTCTTAATCGAGGATGTAGGTATGTAGATATCTATGGGCTACAGCATCTATTACAATCACGTGGGCTGTGTTCTCATTGGTCACTCTAATTCTATTTTTAAAAAAATTGCTAAAACGAAGTCCACGTAAGTCCGAGCTTACTACCGACTTCCCGCGACAATAAGATCAAGAAAGAGTCCTTTAATATCCAAATTTGATGATTTCACTTGGTACCATTCCAGATTCAGTACGGTGTTATTCCAATCCCTAAATCAGTTCATAAGGAACGTGTGGAAGAGAACATCAACGTATTTGGCTTTGAATTGACGCCTGACGAGATGAAGAAACTTGGTGAGTTGATTGATATTATCATCATCATTACCGCCCATCACAAGTCCACTGCTGAACATAGGCCTCCCTCAAGGATTACCACTAAATGCAACCCTGAACCACCTGCATCCATTGACTTCCTTTAAGTCTTAAAAGAACGTCACTCCATCTAGTGGAGGGATGCCCTACACTTCGGCTGCCGGTATGAGGCTGCCGCTCGAGGTCGTTTCTTCCCCATCGGTTATCGGTTCTTCGAGCTATTAGACCGGCCCATTGCCACTTCAGCGTACGAATCCGTTAGGCTATGTCAGTTACTCGGATTCTACTGCGGATATCCTCGTTTTTAACGCTATTACGCTGAGAAACTCCGAGCATAACCCTCTCAGTAGCTCACTGAGCGATATATATATATATATATATATATATATATATATATATATATATATATATATATATATATATATATTATAACTTTTTTTTCAGCTGAGTTCAATAAGGACTACAGAGTCGTGTGGCCAAGCTTCTGGCAGGATCATCCATACTATCCTTTCGAGAAAAAAGATGTGTCCGATCCAGATCTTTTTAAATGGGGTGAAAAGACAGAATAAATAAAGTTTAAAAGTAATTTATATGTAATGTAGTGATTGAGTAAATCTCTATTTTTGTAATTTGTCCCCTTTTCAGATGTTTTAGAAGCGCTTTTTCAGAGTTTTCCGTCTGTTTCTTTTATAAAGCATGTGTTTGTATGAGCATTTATTTGTACATGTGTTTACTGTTTATATAATTGAGCCAATCTCAATTCAAAATGAATATCTAGCCTAATAAATATCACTATTTTATATTTCATAGTTTTTCTTTACTTTTATTTCTAAAATCATTTTCCCACTATTCTCGTACTCTCCTGTGTTACGTATTCTCCTGAGTTATACATACGTTTTATTAAATAAATTATATACGGATAGATATACAATTAGTTACATTGCAAAATGTAATAACATATAAAAGAGTCTCATGTCCTACTATTGACCACAGATCTCTTCTCCTTTTTAAAGTATTATGGGGCAAGGAAATATTTTTCCCTTTTCCTTCACTGCCGAGGATGTAATAAAAGAGCACTTAAAATTGCAAGTAACATTTTTTAATTACAATTTGAAGTGAAAAGGTTTAAAGTTCAGTTCTACTACATAAGATAGAACACAACATACATTTCCAAGTGTCGCCAAACTATGTTCAACCTATTGCCAGAAGTATGTACTCGTACAAACAAAAGGTTGAACATAATTTTGGTTACTCACGCATATAATAATATCTATATACCTAAAATCATTTCCCAACAACAACGTGGTTTAAGTTTAAATATTTTATTAAGCATAAATTGTTTAGTGAGGGTTATTATATACTACTACAGGTACATGATTGATAATAACCCCTGGGAGTGAGGTGATCGCTACCATGATGTTTGTATATGTTTTCATACTTAATGATTTCTTAAATTTACGCGAACACTACACATTGAATAAAACTATATATACGGATTTTATCGCGTTTAATTAACTTATTTTAATTTATTTTTAATACCCGACGTTTCGGGTGCTTTACAGTATACGTGGACACGGGAGGGGGCGGGGGACTGAAAATGAAATGTTTGACGTCCCAATGTCATAGTTAGCCCGGCTTTAATATTCAAATGTTAATATTCAAAAACTGAAAGTAGCATCGAGAATTTAAAATTTTAAGATTATATCACGTACTTTTTTATATACCTAACGTTTCGGGCACTTTGCAGCACCCATGGTCACGGGGGGGGACTGAGATGTTCAACGTCCAGATATCATAGTTAAAATCATTATTAAAATAAGTAAAAAAAAGTTAATTAAACGCGATAAAATCCGTATAATAAATAGTTTTATTCAATGTTTTCATATTTAATTGTATAAAATATTCTAATACCTATAAATTAATGGTTAAGAAATTCCCGCTGGGTTTTTTGCTGGTTCTTCTCAGGACAGGGACTTTTACAAACCGGTACTAAAGCTGAAATGATTTTCAATAGGTATTCTTGTAAAAAAATTAACGTATAGTTACAGCCTACATACGTCCCACTGCTGGGCACAGGCCTCCTCTCATTTCCGAGAGGTTTTAGGGCAAGGAAGTGTCCGCCGCACTGCCCCAATGCGTGTTGGCGAACTTCACATGTCTTCGAAATATTATTTTTTTCTTATTTCTCAGACATGCAGGTTTCCTCTCAATGTTTCCCTTCACCGCCGAACACGTGATAAATCAGCACTTAAAATTACAATTAACAATTTCATTGGTGCCAGCGGGGATTGCACCCGGGTTTTGCTCGCGTACTGTGAAATTTACTGCGAACGCTTACCACTGAGCTACCACGGCTCTTTCTTGCAACCTATGTATTCTTCTAATCTGTGTTCAATGAAATGAATCTATTAAATTCTATTCTATTAGGTATTCACCTATTTGAATTATATTTTTATTTTATTCTATTGGGCATGTTCTTACAATAAGTTGGAAATGTTTTAGACAGTGTTTAGTTCTGTCAGACTCTTCACACAAGCGTCTCACAACGCTACACAAAAGCATGGGGCTCACGTACAGTAGAACTGTTTGACGGCTCCGTGGCTCAGTGGCTTAGCTATGAGTTATAGCGAGACCACGGGTTTGATACGGAACAAGTATTTGTATGACCTACAAGTACTTGTTCCGGGTCTGGATGTTTCATTATCATCATTACAGCATCACAAGTCCACTGCTGAACACTAACCTCCCCCAAAGAATGCCACAAAGCATGGTCCTGGGCCACCTGCATCTATTGACTACCTGCATGTCTTACTGGGTCGTCTCTCCATCTAGTGGGAGGTAGCCTTATACTACGCCTACCAGTACGAGGCTGCCACTCGAGAACTTTTTTTCACCATCGGTGGTCGGTTCTTTGAACTACACGGCTGGCCCATTGCCACTTCAGCTTACTAATCCATTGGGCTATATCGGTTACTCTGTTTCTACTGCGAATATCCTCATTTCTAAGTTTATCATAAAGAGAAACCCTGAGCGTAGCCCTCTCCATAGCTCGCTGAGCGACCTTGAGCGTCCACATATGGCCAGTAGTGAAAGATATCACTGCTAGCCGTATGATTTGACATTCATTTCCCTTCTAACAGCATGATTAAGAGTGTGATCGGAGAGTTTTTGTGTTCTTCTGCGGCGGGTCTTGCAAACCTTGCCTCCGACCGCATGGACAATTTCCACGAGCTTATCATTCATATCGTCTACTGCATTGCAATCTTCTAGGCACTGAAAACGGTTTTGCAACTCGAGCTGAAAGGTTGTCTGGATGTTTATCCTTGTGACATTTATGTTTGTAAACTGCCCCCCACGATACAGTAGAAAATCCTAGGGTGGAAATAACGTTTAAAAATAAATAAAAAAGGAATAAAGAAAAACACGATGAAAATAACGCGACCGTACCGTTCATAACATTCTCTTTGAAATTTAAAGCAAGCGGACAGCTCAAATATGTCTCAGGTTTGCCAAGATAAAAACGTTATCAATAATCATGTTATATATCAATCTTCGTACGAAAGGGGATTAATTTTCTACGACTGATAATCCCAGATCAACAAAAATGATAGATGAAGTGCTGCGATAAGATTCCAAATAACATCGAAACCATGTTCAACTTCTTGATACACTCAGCAACTGCTTGAATACTCATGCACACTTTTTTCTTTATTCACACATATGCATCTGGAAACTTGTTGTTGGCTAGAGATGACTTTAGAAGCTTAGGTATTATACGTGCATATGACAGTTTGGAGCATTTCTATATATACTGTTTATGATCCGGAACTTTGATTGCGCGATTTAAGCTTCGGTGTGTTTCGCTTGTGGCGCGACGACAGCGCCGCCAAAAGTGTGTGTTCTTACACTAAAATGTGCATGCTTTTGGCGTCTATATTGTCTATCTTTCATTGTTAGTCTGCACTGATAATATAAACATGTAATCCATCTTGATTACGTGTGAGATTAAAAATTAATGTCCCACATTATTTATATCTTTATCTTAAAAATAAATCAAAAACCTCTTTTCACAATGCTTTTTATTACAAAAATTAGGGGCAATCGATGATTAAAAAAACGATTACTTACATACCTAGTTTTATTTCCTTCTCAAATTACATAGATAGCAAACATTATATCGTTGGATAACATATATTCTGTTCGACAATTGTCAACTTAAGGAGAGTCACAGAAAAATCAAATTTATCGATTACAATCGAATATAAACAGATAGTTCCGCGAAACTGTAGCAATTACACAATTTTTAACATAATGTGTATATGAGTGATAAAGGAATTTATACATTGTTCGATAACAATTCATGACTTAGTAGTTCGAGATTGCACCTAATTTTAGAATCGTCATCACAAATATTCGAAAAACCTAGAATATTTTATTCCTTCCACAGATAAAACATTTCAGTATTTACATAAAATAAAAAATCAGTCAGTACAAATATGTAAACAAGACTAAATTTAAAGAAACTTATTATTTGAACGTAATTCCCCTTTATAATTCAAAACAAATATTAATGGGTAATCCGTTATACTGATAACATGCATTAGGTACGTGTAATAATTAATCGGTAAGATAACCCAACTATGATAAACTATATTTTTGAAACAATATAAAATATATCTTTTTAACCTTTTTTTAAACTGTAGCCTCAGACCAATAAACAAATATTAGACGAAGCGTTATGAACATTTCAAGTTGTCAACTCCAGTTCAACTTTAAACGTGCACACATGAATAACTAGAATCATGATGTTGGTCGTAATAGATTTTAGATACGTATTATATGTGCGTAAATAACGCGTATTGAGAATCATTTTGGCTTAGTTCAGCGTCACTAGAAACATACGCAGCGCTTTATCTATATACCTTTCTTTGTTGGTCAAAGGTCTAGCGAAATAGCTTTATCTGTAGTAAAATAGATAAAACAAAAGTGAAATAAAAAATGCTAATTAATTCAAAAATAGTTATAGATATTTTATTGGCGCGTTTTGTTTTCATTGTTTTTGATTCCCGACGTTTCTAGAGAAGGTTACTTCACAGCACCCCGCGGTCTTGAGGACAGTATTATTCAATATATAGTAAGTACAGTAAGTAAAATTATTTCAAAAAATATTAAAGTCACCAGGAACACATAAAATATAGTTAGTTTAAGCGGAAGGAATAGAACATTCTATTTCAATTCTTGGTCTTCAAAGACCGCGTCTACTTAACGGCAATGAACTCGCTTTTCAGCTCGTCCTCCTGTTCTACCATGCACTTGACGTTAGCTTCGAAGTCACACTGCTGGGTTCTCTCGTTGAAGAAGAGTCCATCCGAGCAGTAAGCAGCTTGAGCGACTCCGTTCATGCAGCGCCAGTAGCGCTGGCAGTCGCCCCTGCAATTTATTAATTTACTTAACATGGTAATTTAATAGCTAATAATGGTCTAGTCTTACCGTGTAGTGATGGTGTAAGAATAGCCACTATCCTATGTGTCATAAGAGGCGACAGATGGGAAAGAACGTTTTCATACGTGCTAGAGCCATGCTGCAGTTATATTAGTAGTACAGTTGTAGCACGAATGGGTCGGCTCGACCGGGGAGGACCACGCTCTCACAGAATACCAGCGTGAAATAGTAGCTTAATGCTGCTGTGTTTTGCGTATGGTGAGTGTAGAGAACAAGAGACCCTTTCTACTGGAAACGAGACTAAGTCCTCACGGGTGACAACGGATTTGTATTTTGATTCGTAATCGAGGATAGACGTAGATGTCTATGAGCCACAGTAAGCACTTACCATCAGGTGATCTGTGTGCTCGTTTGTCACCCTATCCTATAAAAAAAAAACAAATCATGAGATAGATAGAAGCGTCTTCCAAATAACGACCAAAAATAAAAAACTGCTGTTGCCAAACCTTGCCAAGCGTGACAACTTATGAGGCCTATGTCCAGCAGTGAACTTTAATAGGCTGTAACGTCATCGGTAATAGTCTAGTCAAAAGATCCTCTTCTTTATCATTATCATCAGCCCGTTAAAGCCCACTACTGAACATGGACCTCAGGTGCATTAACGTCATCGGTAATAGTCTAGTCAAAAGATCCTTTTCTTCATCATTATCATCAGCCCGTTAAAGCCCACTACTTAGCATGGACCTCAGGTGGATTAACGTCATCGGTAATAGTCTAGTCAAAAGATCCTCTTCTTCATCATTATCATCAGCCCGTTAAAGCCCGTTAAAGCCCACTACTGACCATGGACCTCAGGTGGATTAACGTCATCGGTAATAGTCTAGTCAACAGATCCTCTTCTTCATCATCATCTCAGCCCATTAAAGCCCTCTACTGGACGAGGACCTCAGGTGGATTAACGATCGCATTGCCGCTGCACTCCGTTGCCATTCTGAGTATTTTACGTCTGGCGTAAACGAGATAGAGATACCGTCATATATCAGAAGCCACAAAATCTTTCACGTATATCTCATTATCCTCTCTTATGACAGTCATAGGACGAGATGGTTTGATTAGATTCTCTAAAGCCAACACACTGCATCACATGCAGAGCCACGCTGAAGTTATATTTTGGTTGCAGCACGAATGGATCGGCTCGACCAAGGTAGGACCACGCTCTAACAGAATACCAACGTGAAATAGCAGCTTAATGCTGCTGTGTTTCGTATGGTGAGTGTAGAGAACCGTAGACCTTTTTTACTGGAAGCGAGAGATTCCATCTTAGGCCTCAGGGTGACAACGCATCTGCATTTTCAACAGACAGTTATGGATACCTTTGGTTCACAGAATTTACTTACCATCAGGTGGACGGTGTGCACGATTGTTACCCTTATTACATAAAATTTAAACTAATGTTTTCAACCGACTTCAAAAAAGGAGGAGGTTCTCAAGTCGACTGCATTTTTTTATGTGTGTTTTCTCAGAACTTTTTTCTAGGTGAACCGCTTGTTAATCAATCGAGATTATTGAAGCTCATTGACACCTGCTGGCATTTGTAAACGCAGATGATGTTTCTCATAAAAACTAACATAGAATGTTTTATAGTCAATTATACTGGTTCTCTTGTGTTTCAAACCGAAGCATTGTGGGTACAGCCCACGCAGTCAGGCGAGACATTTTACCTTGGGCGGAGCAAAGGAAAGGCTAAAGGGACATGGCCTTGGGCGGCAAATTTTAAGGAGTGTCCTTAACTTTTTAAATCACTCGATTTTTACCATCTATTTATGTATTAATCGATATATAGCGTCAGCCAAGAAAGCTGAAATTTAATAGCTTACCTAATCGCTCTTTTATCAAATATTATCCCAGCAAACCAAAAGAAATATTATAGATCTGCTGGTATTAATTGCTTACCGCCGCCCATGAACAACTGTAACACCAGGGGAATTGATGCGTTGCCGGCCTTTTAAAAAGAAGTAGGCTCTTTTCGTGAAGGTCCCAAAGTTGTATCGGTCCGGAAAAAATCTCTGATGGTAGTCGATTCCACAAGGAAGTGCGAGGAATAAAACTTCTTTTAAATCGCACAGTGGTGGACCGCCAGTCATCCAGATGGCATGGATGGTATCGCGAGTTTTGCCGCGATGTGCGATGGTGAAATTGTTGTTGTTAATAAATTAAAATATAAGTGAAACAAGTACGTGTTAATCCAAATCCTATATTATTTATTTAAAAACGTAAAAATACTACGCTTTAAATGACTGTACCAGATATTCGGAAATACCTAGCATTTTACGAAAATTTTTACTCACTTATAAGGCACCTGTCTAGAGGCAGAATCAGCCCGGAAGCAGTTCAGAATGATGTTATGTCCGTTAGACTTGCGTGGCGCCTCCAAGGACATTGGCCTAACCGCATTCAACACCTCTTCAGCTGTTAGACTGAGGACTGAACCTGCAATTGATAATTTAAAACATCAAACACCAAAATGTCTGTCATATTATAATTATGGAGGCAAGATAAAATAAATAAATTAATTGGTTAACAGCCGTTGGCGCAGTTGGTTTTTTCTAAATTAAAGAAAAACCACCCATAAAAAAAGAATCATAAAAATTGCGGTTCTCATACATGCAAAAAATAATTTAAAAAAAACAGTCAAATTGATAACTTCGTCTTTTTATAAAAGTAAGCTAAAAGTATCTCGACGCAAGTGCTCACTTTTGTCTTACTCTATGGTAAAAATGTATCTATGGAACAACCATTTTTGATGTATGTATTAAAAATATCACGAAGACGTGAATTTGGTCTGTAGTCACTGAAGCTGCGTGTTTCTTATCTTATTCATAATCCTATCAGAAAGTGAGGTGACCCGTTGCCCAGCAGAGGAAAGTACGTACCTAAGCCAATTCTTTACTTTTGAATTTAAAATACTAGATTCGTCATCGTAAAAGTTCCTCTAAAACTCTGGAGACCGTATAACGTAATAATTATTGAACATTAAAATTTACACTTCAGAACAGAAACTTAAAAAGACTATAATGCACAGGGTTATTTTCCATTAACTGACCAAATTTGCAGAGAAGGTTCAGCATAAGTAATATAGGCAAATGGTGAAGAAAAAATAATTATAAAAATCTCTTAACAGTCTGTCCTTTTTATAATAATTTTATAGGCGCCTTTTTACTTATAACATCAATACCTTTTTATCTTTTAAATTTATTTTACTGCGCACGCATACATTCGTAATAGTCGATCATCAGGCAAAAACGTTATTGCCCATAAATCACATTCAATTTGGGATAATTTCAAATAAAAGTAGAAGCCTTATTTACTCGTCTTTTCAGAAACTGCAACAACAGTATATCGTTTTTATACAACATGTAACAAAATCCCTGTGGTTCCCGTTAAGTGATATCGTAATCAGTATTTAAAGGTATAGAAATAACTATGTTTCAGAAAACGAGACCATTAAAAATTATTTAATTAAAATAACATTTCATTTGCAAATTTTATGTTGTTTTATTATCTCTAACTGACATCGGTAAAGTGTGGTCTTGAACAATCCTTTTACTCCCCGGATAATGTAGAGTAACAAACCAAAAAAAATTAACTGTCAAGTTTTCTAAACCAAGTTATTTGGTGGATTATAAGTTTTTTGTCACTTCACACACAAAAAATAATCACCGTCGGAAGCCTTTTCGGCGCTGTCTGAGAGCCAGTCGAACTCCTCTTCACCTGAACCTTCCACATCATTATCTTCTGGTATATCACGAAGTATGCAATTTGTGTCTCTCGGCCAATTGCAAACCTGAAAAAAAACAAAGAATGTTAGTCAAGCAGACGAGTCAATGGCGCAGTGGGAAAGCATAGACTTACGGCGCTAGCCCTAAACACGCACGAAACAAGTATTTGGTTGGCCAACAAATAATTGTTCCAGGTCTAGATGCTGGTCCATAGAAATATTAATTATTATATCTATGTGCTGGTCCATGTTCAAAATCAAAGACCAAACAAAACATAATAACAGTTTCTTTAATTGAAGCAAACACTGCTCATTAAATAAAATTTTCAATTTTTACTTTTTAAATCCCGATATATTCCAGTTCAGTTGTCCCACCTGTGACCCTGAGCTATAAAGCGCCCAAAACTTCGGGAATTAAAAAGTCAAAATTAAACACGATAAAATCCGTAAAATGAGTTTCATTTAAAAATACGACTAGCTTATTAAAAATAAGACAGACTCACCTGTATTTCGAAATCGAAGTAAAGACCTCCTGGGCACGTGAAGAGCACTTCCTCGCCATGGGTGCACATGAAGAACTTCGTACAGTCGGTGTAGTGAGGCAAAAGAAGGAATATCTGGAAAATACAACATGTTATGTCCACACACTATCTGATTTAAAAAAAATCAACTTTTGATCCATTCATAATTTTTTTTTAATTTCCGATCATCAAGATCGGACATGCACACCGCACAAACCGCCTCAAAATAAGTCAGGGTCCTTTTAGCAGTTTCATGCATGCTGTATTTTATGTTAAATAATTAATTAAATTTATGAAATTATCTATCTACGTTTTTTTTTTAATATTTTGTGCTACATTCTTAAACCCTCTCAGAAATGAGGGGAGGCCTGAGCCCAGCAGTGGGACGTATATAGGCTGTAACTTTACTTTACTTTACTTTTACATTCTTAAACCGTAATAAACGCATTTCTTTCTTTTTTCTTTATTACTGCTTATAACAGGTTTGGAGGCATTTCATCTTAGTTTTGTGAGTTCTTCACTTAACACACAAAACTGCGGCATTAAGCTGCTATTTTACACTGATGTTCTGTGAGAGCGCGATCTTACCCCAGACAAGCCGACCCATTAGAGCTACAACCATAATATAACTGCAGCGTGGCCCTACCACGTACAAAACGTTTTTATGCCTAGGAGTCCATCTGGGTAGGTATAATGTCCTCCCGACCAATTTATGTCACGAAGCCAGCCTCTACAGAGACCGCTGCGCAGGACATGATTATAGTGCCCAAGTGTATGCGCAAACACAGGTGCACTCTCTATTCCCTCACTCTCATAGTTCGATGGGACAGTAAACTCATAGTTCGATGGAATGGGAGTCTGGGTCGATGTTACCGTCTTACCTATTCATGGCACCAAGTAGCAGTACGTATACTGCTGTGTTAAGGTCCGAAAGGTAAAGAGCGCTAATATAGCATATAGAGATATAACATATAAAAACCTATCGATATTAATTGGAAATTAAATCAATTAACAAACTTGTAAAGTTTTAATTACAACTTGTGGTGGTGTCAGAACATCTACCGCCGCCGTGGGTGTCGTAAGACGCGACAGAGGAAAACAAATCAGGGGATGAGCAGCGGTGTCTTACTCAATAACAATTAAAAAAACTGCGGTTGCCAACCCGTCTGGCAAGATTGGCAACTATGGTAAGTATCACCCGATGAGTCAAACTATGGGGCAGGTGATTGGTTGTGATGATGATGAATTACTGTGCACAATCTAAAATGCATCTCCGCTTGCGAAGCATGACGACTGAGACAAATATTTCTTTATGGAGAAGCCCAGGAGCGGACTTATAGAATAGAAGAGAATAATTTTTTATTCAATATAGACCTTTGAACGAGAACACAGGGAAGAAAAATGGGGAACACAACACCAGGGCGGTCCCCTAAAAAAAAAAAAAAACATGTAATTCTTATTGAAAGTAATTTTTTACTTAACCACTGGTTTCTACTACTGATTACTGCTTACAAGAACCAGCAGGAAACCCAGCAGGACTTTTTATTTAAATACATTTTACAATGTGAATGCATTGAAGTAATATGTACTTACGTACACATAATTGCTAAATGTGTGAATTTTATATTATTTTAGAAACAGCTTGGAAGCGACCACCTCATTTCCAAGGGTTATTATCCACCATGTATTCGTTTATATTATAATAGCCCTTTTTATGCAATTTTTGTTTAATTAAATATTTAAACTTGGTAATAGAGAGACCTTGTATATTTTCTGGGACTTTGTTTTAATAGCGTATACATTGACTCTGTGGAGTCGACGGGCTGATATGAACATGGTAGAGGTAAACACAAATTGCTTCATACAAAAAGTGTTATTATGCAGTAAGAAAACAGGAATTCGTTTGTATGGACTAAACGCCGCCCAGATATCCTCTTAAGGTAAAAGTTTATTCACCTGTCCCTCTGGATCGCATGATAGTGTATTTGGGTCGACACCCTCGAATTGCTTGTAAATCTCTATTTGCAAAATCGAGGCATTAGGTTTAAGGGTTGTAGTAGCGATGGTGACATTCGCATTTGCTTTGGTGGTGGTGGTGGTGGTGGTGGTGACGTTCGCGTTTGTTTTGGTGGTTGTCGTTGTGGTGTCACTTTTATCTCCTGCAGCAGCAAACCCCAGCACGAATAGTAGGACCACTAGTTTCCCTGTGGACAAAGAAATAACATGAGATAATACACAGCTTTTTCATCAACTTTACGCCGGTAGCCAGTGGCGGCCCTAACAAAAAATTTTGGTGGTGTGAGATCTCACAGTGGTGCCCCTCTAAATAGTATACTTCTTATTAAAAGTGTATAGCGGACGATTGATATCTTAGTTCATGTATTTCCCGTAGTTCTAGTGTTTCTTTAATTGAGTCGAGCATGGATCTCAATCTTTAGAAAAGCAAGCGCAGGCGACTAGCCCTCGCCTCCTTGTCTAAATAAAAATCAAGAGGCGTTAGGCACAGAAGTTCATTAAGAGCCGCTCCAGGCGATGATCGCATCGCTCCAGTTGCCATTAAACAGGCAGTCCTTTCTAGACTACTGAGTCTGTCTGCTTTACTCCATTTTAAAAAGCCGCCATTTTAGTCCTGCTTAACAGATATCATAATGCGATGACATAGACTGAGTGCTCCTGTCCAGACCTTTTACCGAGAGAAAATACCTAACCACGGGAAAATTTGATTTAATGTGTACAAAACCGCTGAGTAGAAAGCTGAGTACAATGTTAATTAGTACTTACTTACTTATCTTCACGCACAATCCCTAACGGGGTAGCCAGAGAGAACAGATCGCCAAGTGTCACGATCCTTACATACCTCTTTCGCTTCTTTCAGGTTCATTAACTTCTTCATACATGCACGTCTAGGTATCCGAGTACTCTTGACCCTCCCCTCTTCGAGCAATTTGCTCACATGGTCTTCGAAAGTTAGTCTCGGTCTACCTCGACACCTTTTAATATTTACTTTCGCTCTATATATTTTCTTCACCATTCGGTCTTCAGTCATTCGTTCAACGTGCCCAAACCATTGGAGTACGCCCCTATCAATTTTTGTGATAAGGTCATCTTTCAATCCTACCATATTGCGAATCTCTTCGTTTCGCTTTCGGTCGGCTAAGGTAACGCCACACATTTTACGAAGAGATCGCATCTCCACTGCATTCAACTTGCTTTTATGCTTCTTCTGGCATACCCAGGTTTCGCTGTCATATAACAAAGTCGGTACCAACACTGCATTATGTATTGCAAGGCGTGCACTCTTCACCACGCCTTGCCTTTTTACTAATGCATTCAGGGCACCATTGACTTTGTTTCCGGCAGCGACACGACTATCCACATCTAAATCACATCTTCCAACCCGGCTGAAAGCACTCCCCAAGTATACAATTTCATTTACCTGTTCTAGACATTCCTGATTTACCCATATTTCACATTTCGTTCTCTCTTCGTCCTTTTCAAATACCATTAATTAGTAGTACCAGTATATTAGTACTTAGTAGTACTAGTATATTTTAAATTTAATATGTTTTTGCTTTGTATAAGGGCGTGACGATTTTATTATATTGTATTAGATATATATTATTTTTAGTTATGAGTTTTTTTTTTTTTTATAGGATACGGTGACAAACGAGCACACAGTCCACCTGATGGTAAGTGGTTGCTGTGGCCCATAGACATCCACATCCATCCTCGACTACGAATCAAAACGCAGATGCGCTGTCACCCGTGAGGACTAAGATGGAATGCCTCGTTTCCAGCAAAAAGGGTCTCCGGTTCTCTACACTCACCATACGAAATACAGCAGCATTAAGCTACTATTTCACGCTGGTATTCTGTGAGAGCGTGGTCCTTCCCCGGTCGAGCCGACCCATTCGTGCTACAACTATACTACTAATATAACTGCAGCATGGCTCTACCACGTATAAGTTATTTTATAATTGGCTTTGTCATGTTTAATAATTTATGTAAAAATGTTTAAGTGTTCATAAGCCGTTGTTATCCTGAATATAATAAAATAAAATAAATATAGTAAAATATAAAAATCTAGTAAATATATTTGTGAGTTGAGCAGGCACAGGCAGAGCAAACCGGAGGGAGGAGGCACATATTCATAGTTAGCGAAAGGCCGTCAGAAATCTAAATCAGCCACTGGCATTATGTGTGATTTCAAATGTTCCCTTTTAATAGTCTATTTTTTTTTGTTTTTATTTTTAAAAAATATTAGTAATCTTATTAATTAACATTACTAATATTCCTTTTAACCACTCCTGGTAAGCTTGAAAATGCTTGTGTTAGGAGTGGTTCACGACAGTAGTCAAATGGCGGATTCGAACCCACGACCTTTTGAGTTCGCGATCCGCGCCCTGCCATTATGTGTCGCTTCATACTTTTAATAGTCTATGGAGTGTAAGTCAAGACAAAAAAGCTATTTTGTATACATATAAGATATCTGTGTTTTAGACATTAATATGCAGTTGAAAGCAAAACACATCATGCCTTATAAACAAACCTAAGATTCAATGATTTTTTACGTGGTAGAGCCATGCTGCGGCTACATTATATATATATATATATATATATATATATATATAAAAAAAAAAAAAAAAAAATATATATAGTTTTTGTGAGAATGAGAGCGTGGTCCTTCCCCTAGTCGGGTCGACCCGACTAGGGGAAGGACCACGCTCTCACTGAATACCAGCGTAAAATAGCAGCTTAACGCCGCTGTGTTGCATATGGTGAGTGTAGAGAACCGGAGACCCTTTTCACTGGAAACGAGGCATTACATCTTAGTTCTCGCGGGTGACAACAAATCTGCATTTTGATTCGTAATCTAGGATAAATGTAGATGCCTATGGGCCACAGCAACCACTTGCTATCAGGTAGACTGTGTGCTCGTTTATCTCCCACATCCAAAAAAAATTACGGTTGAAATTCGACCACTAGTAGATACCTGAAAAACTGTTTTTACATTAACTCTGTATAACCTTTACACCGAAACAGAAATACAAACACAGCAATTTAGCTTTAAAAAGAGCTAAGAATGAACCTAGACGGATTCCTATGTTTAAAAGCAGTTCTATCACCAATAACAAATTATATAGAAAATGAGGGTATCCACGACTTTTCCTGCCACCAGGGCAGCGCTACTTATGAGTGAGGTAAAATATTTGACAGATTTTCCCTGAAGTTAATTTGTTAGGGTAAATGTAAGGTTTAATGTTCCTTTCTATAAGAAAAATTATATTTTATATTTGTTGGATTAGAAATGAATAAACCAAGCTATAAAAAGTAAAAGTCAAGTTACAAGCTATATGCGTCCCACGGCTTGGCACAGGCCTGCCCTCATTTCTGAGAGGGTTTTTTAGGGCAAGGAAGTGCCCGCCGCGCTGCCCCAATGCGTGTTGGCGAACTTCACATGTCTTCGAAATATTTTTTTCTTATTCCTCAGACATCTCATGCAGGTTTCCTCACGATGTTTTCCTTAACCGCCGAGCACGTGGTAAATCAGCACTTAAAATTGTAGTTAGCAATTTCATTGGTGCCGGCGGGGATCGAACCCGAGTTACTCGCGTTCTGTTAAATTTACATCGAGCGTTAACCATCTGAGCTACTACGGCTCCAACCAAACTATGAATATTCTTAAATTTAAAAAAATTTAATAGCGCTAAAAATGTGTAATAAATTAAAGAGAAATCCTCTGCGGAATGTTTTGTGTATTTACGTAATACTTTAGAAACCTATACACTTTTATTTTAAATGCAACTTACTTCACCTCAGTACGCAGCTAGCGACATCTGTTAAGCGGAAGATTATTAGCCTTCATTTATTGATACATTACAACAATAATATGTTTTTAGTTAACAGCCCCTCAATGTTATATTAAATAAGGGGTGATAAGGTATCTTTTAGGTTTTATCGAGGACAGATGTAGATTTTTTAACAATACAAAAAAACCAATTCAAATTATATTTGACATACAAAATACTGATAGCTCCAAACTATACTTTGTCAAACATAAAATACTCATCTTACCGTGCATGTACATTATGGAAATCTGCAAATTCATTAAAAAAAAAACAGAATTTTTTATAAAACGAGGAGAAAGCAATACCAGATACAAATTACGCCATAATGAAAAACTGACTCAACTCATATCTCGCCTAAACTACATTCATCAGGTCCCTTTGTCGTCATGTCTATCAAAATTTTTACCAAACTCCCAGACTCTTTCAAAATGTAGAAAAAGAAACTATTTTTATATTTCAATTCTATTTCATTTCAAAAATACCTACAGTTGCAAAATTACATAGTGTATTTATCATTATTGTTTCATTATAATTCTCTAGTATATATACAGTAATCTATGATAAGACAATAGAAGTAGCATAGACGCGTGACCTTGTTGCCGCTATGATATGTTGACGAACATCATTCACTATTTTGTGATTTAGTTGCGCGGGGAACGTCGTACGTGAATTTATGTTATTATGAATTTATAATGGAGAACTGCAGCATAATCAGTTGTAAAAAATCATCAAGGGCGTGTAATTCAACTAATAAAGGCATAACATTTCATCGCTAAGTTGATTATTTACTTATTATTATCATTGTTTTAACTAATTTACATCTAGATGAAAACTTTACTATGATATTTACCTTTATAAACTCATTTAGTACTCTTCGTATTGTACAATTACCATTACTGCTTTTGTTCTAACGTAATACGCGACACACATGACGTTGACAAACTCACCAAGCAATGTAATGTGAAACATTAGATATCATTATGCATTGCGTATGTTTATAATACGGTAAGATGTGGCGTCATCGGTTTTTGTAGTAATCGAGAGCTAATTCATTTCTATTGTCTTATTATTACTATTTCTGTGCTCTGAACACTTTAACTGTATCATTATGGATGCAATAAATAATATGAATATGAATAGACGTCTATGCTCTACAGCAATGCTTTTTATCTTGTGTGTTCGCTTGTTACCGTTAAAGTATTTACATAAAAATCATTTTTATAGGAGAAGGGGCAGACGAACATACGGCTCACCTGATGGTAAATGATTACCGCCGCCCATGAGCAACTGCAACACCAGGAGGATTGTAGATGCGTTGCCGGCCTTCGTCGTATCGGTCCGGAAAAATCTCTGGTAGTAGTTGATTCCACAAGGAAGTTGTGCGAGGGAGAAAACTTCTTTTAAATCGCTTAGTGGTGGACCGCCAGTCGTCCAGATGGTGTGGATGGTATCGCGAGTTATGTCGCGATGTGCGATGGTGAAACTGTACGGCTGGAATTAGTCCGAACAATTCCTCAGAGCACGCCCCGTGGTATATGCGATAAAATACCCCAAGAGTTGCAACATCTCTTCGCAGTGCCAGTAAGTCAAGCCGATCGGAAAAAATTTGAACAATAATTTAAGTCGCTCAGGGTCGCGGGTTCGAATCCCGCACAAAACAAGTATTTGTATGGCCTATGTATCATGTAAGAATTAAAAAAAATAATTGCGCACCTTTTTAATTTTTTATTCTCCCAATTTAACAATGACATTGAAATAAGCTGTATGCTTACCAATTCCAATTAATCGTTACTCATTTGTTTTCCTGATTATCAATAGGCCGAAAGACTTTTCGCGGCTATTCTTTGTACAAATAATTGATGTAGATACTATCTGATAATAATTAATTAGTTACGCCTTATCTAGATAAAACACTTTGATATGATAAACGTGAAACGAATACATTAAATTGCTGATAATATTCTGTAAAGTAAGTATGAAGTTGTTGTTTTGATGGAGTAGCCACTTTAAATTAATCTAAACATACATGGTCCAAGATTTGTGATTAAATTTTTTTCACACAAAAAATATATTATTCTAAATTCAAAAATGTTATAATATTCTTTTGCTTGGATTACAATAGTCTTTACCTTCAGCATTTGAGTTAAACATGAAGATTAGATGGAGTGACGACCTGGAAAGACATGCAGGAAGTCAATGGATGCAGGTGGCTCAGGACCGTGCTTTGTAGCATTATTATAGGAAGATTATGTTCAGCAGTGGACTTGTGAAGGGTTATAATGATGATGATGATGAAGACTCAGTAATTAGAGTAATTTTCGTATACGAATGCTGACTTGGTTCTAACACGACAGAGACAGCTCGTAATATCAATGTTTCGTTTGGATAGGATACGAACGCGATGTGCGTTTTCGGTGTTACTTTTGTATTTTACATTTTACTTGAAGAATGAACGTGAGGAAAACTCACTAAGGTGAATAAAGATTAACTTAAAGTAACGGTCAAAGCCGATACTTATCAAATAACCAAGGAATTAGCGTAATGACTTTAGTTAACCCACAATATTGACTTATTTGCACTAAATTGGTTTAATAAAAATGTTACAGAAATGGGTTCATCACGAATTAACTGATGTGCATATAGGATCACGCGTGACTTGCCTAGCTATGATGATTAGGTACAGAAATGGAGGAATTTTGGACAGAATAGTGACGTGTAATAAAAAGTGGATTCTCTACGTAGAAACAAGCGAAAACCGCAATGGCTGAACCAAGCTGGAATACGGGAACACTGTCCTAAAGTGAAGTTTGCCCATAGCCAAGTAATGCTAACTATTTGGTAATTACTTCATGATGTATCAATAACATCACATCTAGTGTGAAGAATGTTGAACAATGAGTTAAGGCACTCAGGGTCGCGGGTACTAATCCCGCACGGAACAAATATTTATATGGCCTATATATAATTATTGTTCCCGGTCTGGATGTGTGTCCTTGTGCAATTTTTATATGTAAACTTCCTCTACGATGCAGGAGAAAACATTAGTTGTTATGTCAATCTGACTCTATAAGAAACAACTCCGACTCATTAATCGATCTTCGTTATTAATGCTCCGTTCCGCAATGTGAACGTTTATGTATTACCAAATCGCGTCTCCTCTGTTGAATTTGCCCTTTAGATTAACTTATAATGATACTACTGCTCTTGTTTTATTTATACACTACTCAAACTCAAGTTCGAATCCCGCGCGACACCGCACAGGTGCAACACAAATGCGGACAAGTACGTATATTTATATACAAGCCGATAATATTGTATACATGTTACAATCAAAACTCACAATACCCCTGCCGCACCTTAACATACTGCCACTGATATTGCAAGTTTTGAGCAATAATCTGAACTTTAAATCAGCTAAAACCACTTTTGACTAAGGACGTAGGTCAAAACCATTTTTGCCTTATGTTCGCAGTCAAAAGTGGTTTTGATCGGTTATGAATTTTGATTGTGACATAGTTTGGCACATTATACATATTTTGGTTTCGCAGCAGTCGATTACAGCAAAAGATTGACAAATCTTAATCAAAAGATAGGAAGTAGCTGTGTATAACGATTTCACTCCAAAACACGTGTAATTGGGACGTATCTGAATACTTTGATATATGAGGCCGCTAAAACAATAATGGCGTCACATTAAAGATTTAATGTTATGTACACTTCAATCCTCGCACGCGTATTTTAACCATAGACTAACGATAATTTTATCACGTAATAATTAATGAACCTAATAATAATGTCAGTGTTTAAATGGTAGATCTGACTCTTATTTCGTTTCCTTAGTTTTATTGCATCATCATCATCATCTATTTAGCAAAAAAAAATACTAAAGTAACAACCATACATTATGTTCACACATATCTACTGTTGATGAGTTGAGTTAGCCTTTCAATTCTAAGGAGGTTACAAAACTGAATGGCATCCAGGTTTCCAGCACGCTGCTTATACAAATAGGGGGAAAACCCCTATCCTCGGAATAATATCTCTTGTTATCAAATAAATTCATAGCCAAATATTTTAGGACACGAGAGCGACGCTCTAAGCAGTAGATCATAACACGATTATCAGTTAAGTTATCTACGGAAAAAAACACGTGCGATCTGATAGAGCAAACTAAAGGAAAACATTTTGAAAATAATTGGTTCTATTTAAATAGTACCAGTTTTTACGGATTTTATCGCGTATATTAACTTTTATTTTACATTGTCGACGTTTCGAGCACTTTACAGCACCCATGGTCACAGGGTGGGGGCGAGGAGGAGGGAGCTGAGATGTTCAACATCCATATTAATTTTTGTTCCGATCTACACAGTATGAGCTTATATTATACTTAGTATCTTGAAGTCTTGCAATTGTATGCTTGGGTTGGGATTTAATTTATTAATTATAGGATCCCAAGCAGATGGTTGCACCCAGCCATTTTCTCTATTGAAATTAGGATGTTCTTTGATTTCAAAAGCCTCGCCAATCATCCCTGGAAGGAATCGGTGTTATTTAGAGAGTATTTGTGGTCTATCAAATCTGATGTAGTGACGGGGGCGATCCTGTATGTGTTCACAGACTGCAGACTTCCCGAAGCGTCGATTCCATTATTTCAAATATTATTATTACATTCCCAAACGAGCTACTTGTGTATTCGTTTGTGACAGATTCATTTTTTGTGTATGAACCTTGTATCTTTATATGTCGTAGGCGTAGGATAATTAGATAAACCGAATTTTCCGCAAAAAATCTAGGGATATCGCGAAAACACGGATAATTAGACAATGCTTATGACATTTCTCAAACTTACGGAAAAAAGATTAGAGGTTTTGCAACTTTGAATATACTTAACTCTGATTGGCTTGATTTTCTTTTTTTCCTATGAATTATATTATATTCTATTTATATTACCAAAATTTTCTACGAAGCCTTCTCTTTTTTTTTTTAATAATTATTTAGAATTATAACAAGAACAGAAATAAAAAAATACCATTTTTTTCTACTACGTGAAAAAAAAATTCCCTGTAGCAACTCTATAAATAAGGACGCATTCCTAAATAAAGGCATCTCGCTCAGCCCGTTTTTCCATTGAACCTAATATTATATGAAAGTAGACTTTATGTCAATAGCATAGAATACATTTTATTTTTGCAACTTCTGCAGAGTGCACAATCTTGTTCTATACGAAGTATATTATAATATCTTTGCATTGCTCATAGATAATACACTATACTATGATAAAAATATAGTAACCATGGAGGTTAGAGAACAGGAGATGAAGCCCCATCCAAAACCACAATTTATCGCTGGTTTGCTGAATTTCAACGTGGACGTGTCAAGTTCAGTGACGATCTCCGTCAAGATCATCCAAAAACTGCAGTCATCCAACAAAACGTTGATGTTGTGCGTAAGCTGATTGAGGAAGATCGACATGTGTGACATACCGCGAAATTTAGGCAACTTTAGACATTGGAATGAGTCAAATACAAATAGTCTTGCATGAACAATTAGGTGTAAAAAAGTTGTTTTCCCGATGGATAACGCATTCGCTCTGTGAAGAGCAAAAAACGGCTCGCGTTACTTGGTGCGTCAGAACTCTCGAAACATTATACAAAGACTCAAATGCAATGTATACAACATCGTATCAGGCGAGGAATCCTGGATATATGAGTACGAATCCGAAATAAAAAACTAGTCACGAGTTTGGGTGTTCGAAAATGAGTTAAAGCCAACAAAAATTGTTCGTTCACGGAGTGTTGCAAAAAAAATGGTGGCCACGTTTGTCTCTAAAACCGGCCAGGTTACGACTATTCTCTCTTAAGGGACAAAGAACGGTTAATGCAGAATAGTATGCTAGCATTTGTTTGCCACAGGTCGTTTCTGAACTCCGTAGAAAGAACTGCAACCGCCGCATCATCCTCCATCACGACAATGCGAGTTCTCACACCGCACACAGAACAAAAGAGTTTTTAGAGCAAGAAAACATAGAATTATTAGACCATCCGCCGTACAGCCCCGACCTAATCCCTAATGATTTCTATACTTTCCCTAAAATAAATAATAAATTGCATGGACAGAGATTTTCATCACCTAAAGAAGCGGTGAGCTGAAGTTAGGGAAATTTGGAGTAGGGCAACGGAACCGAAGGGGCCAGCAGCTGGCCGACTTTATGGAGAAAGAGGGACTCTTTATGATGAACTCTTTCTTCCAGAAGCGGCCCCACAGGAAGTGGATCTGGTCGAGCCCCGACAGTTCGACAAAAAATGAGATTGACTTCATTATGACGACCAGACGCCAACTGTTCAGTGATGTCTCAGTGATCGCAAGGGTGAAAACTGGCAGCGATCACCGAATGGTTAGAGGCACACTGAACTTAAACGTTAAGTTGGAGAGGTCTCGTCTAATGAAGTCAACGCTCCGCCCCACTCGTGCTCTAATGCAGAATCCCGAAAACTTTCAGCTCGAGTTACACAACCGCTTTCAGTGCCTACAAGATTGCAATGCAGTGGACGATATGAATGGCAAGCTCGTGGAAACTATCCATGCGGTCGGAGCTAAGTTCTGCAAGACCCACCGCAGAAGAACACAAAAACTCTCCGATCACACTCTTAATCTCATGGCTGTTAGATGGGAGATGAGGCTGCAATCGTCAACAGATTTGACAGCATACAGGCAACTGAACAGACAGATCTGCAAATGCATGCGGCGAGACTTACGCAACTTTAATACTGCTCGTATTAAAGAAGCGATCGAGCGGAACCAGGGCTCCAAAGTCTTTGCCAGAGATCTGTCTGCCAGAAAGAGCCAACTGTCAAAGCTGAAGACTGAATGTGGCAGCATCGTTTCCGGGACACCTGAGATGTTGAGTGAGATTGAGAGGTTCTATGGGCAGCTGTACACATCATCGTTGGAGCCACACGCAAGTGTGAGTAACGATCCAAGAGCAAGTCTTATCCGACACTATTCCGATGATATCCCGGACGTCAGTCTAAGCGAGATTAGAATGGCTCTCCAGCACCTTAAAAACGGCAGGGCCCCAGGCGAGGATGGAATTACAGCGGAGCTTCTGAAAGCGGGTGGAACACCGGTACTGGAAGTCCTTCAGAAGCGCTTCAATTCCGTCCTCCATGGTGGCACTACTCCAGAGGCGTGGAGCAGAAGTGCGGTGGTCTTGTTCTTTAAGAAAGGCGACAACGCTCTCTTGAAGAACTACAGACCGATTTCCCTTCTGAGCCGCGTCTACGTGCTGTTTTTGAGAGTCATTACGAATCGTCTCGCACGCAGACTCGACGACTTCCAGCCTCCCGAACAAGCCGGTTTCCGAAAAGGCTTCAGTACCATAGACCACATACATACCCTGCGGCAGATTGTACAGAAGACTGAAGAGTACAATTTGCCACTTTGCCTGGCGTATGTGGACTATGAGAAAGCCTTTGATTCCGTCGAAATTTGGGCGGTGCTGCAGTCCCTTCAGCGGTGTCAAGTTGACTGTCGGTATATCGAAGTGCAGAAGTGTTTGTACAATAGGGCTACGATGGCTATCCGAGTACAGAACCAGAGCTCGAAACCTATCCAACTGCAGAGAGGTGTAAGACAGGGTGACGTTATATCCCCCGAAACTCTTCACCGCTGCTTTGGAAGACGTTTTCAAGCTACTGGACTGGAAAGGATACGGTATTAACATCAATGGCGAGTACATCACTCACCTTCGATTTGCCGACGATATAGTCCTTATGGCAGAATCGCTGGAGGACTTAAGCACTATGCTCAATGACCTCAATAGTGCCTCCCAACGGATAGGTCTTAAGATGAACATGGACAAAACAAAGATCATGTTTAACGTCCATGTCACACCTATGCCGGTAGTTGTTGGGAGCACTATGCTCGAAGTTGTTGACGAGTATGTTTACCTGGGACAAATAGTCCGACTAGGTAAGTCCAACTTCGACCGAGAGGTCAATCGACGGATTCAACTCGGCTGGACAGCGTTCGGGAAATTACGACATATCTTCTCGTCAGGTATACCTCAATCTCTAAAAACTAAATTGTACAACCAGTGCGTGTTGCCAGTGATGACTTACGGATCTGAGACGTGGTCCTTCACTGCTGGCCGTATGAGGACGCTCAAGGTCGCTCAGCGAGCTATGGAGAGGGCTATGCTCGGAGTTTCTCTGCGTGATAGACTCAGAAATGAGGATATCCGCAGTAAAACCAGAGTGACCGACATAGCCCAACGGATTAGTAAGCTGAAGTGGCAATGGACCGGCCATATAGCTCGAAGAACCGATAACCGATGGGGAAGAAAGGTTCTCGAGTGGCAGCCTCGTACCGGTAGGCGTAGTGTAGGGCGACCCCCCACTAGATGGAGTGACGACCTGGTAAGATATGCAGGAAGTCGATGGATGCAGGTGGATCAGGACCGTGCTTTGTGGCATTACTTGGGGGAGGCCTATGTTCAGCAGTGGACTTGTGAAGGGCTGTAATGATGATGATGATGAAAGAAGCTGTGGACGCCTACAAAACGGCCATTTTGGAGACCCCAATTTCCAAATGGAGTGGTTGCTTCAATGATTGGTTCCATCGTATGGAAAAATGTGTCAAATTTCGCGGAGAATACTCCGAAAAGCAATAAATACATTTTTAAATAGTTATGTTGTGTCACTTCCTTGATTGCCGAAATTTTCAGTGCCACCCTCGTATCTGCGAAGTAATTTTTTAATTATTGATAAAAAGAAACATTATAAAAGGGGGAAATATTATTTAAAAAAAAATAATTATAAATTAATAATAATTGATAACTTATATTTGTACTAATTTGTAATAATTAAAATTATAAAAAACATAATTTATAATTTATTTATTAATAAATAATAATAATAAATAATAATGATTTCTTTTTTTCTTTGAATCATATTGTAACCATAGTAAACTAGCGCACAACAGCTTGCTTTTATTGAGACAACTTAGCGATCGCAGCGCGTCACTTATTTTGTCCATATTTCTGGGACACTATTTTCTACAACGATCGTTCTCTCTAATCTCCATGCTAGTTTTTTTTTTTTTTTTTTTTTTTTTATAGGATAGGGTGACAAACGAGCACACAGTCCACCTGATGGTAAGTGGTTGCTGCGGCCCATAGACATCTACATCTATCTTCCATTACAAATCAAAATGCAGATGCGTTGTCACCCGTGAGGACTGAGATGGAATGCCTCATTTCCAGTAAAAAGGGTCTCCGGTTCTCTACACTCACCATACGAAATACAGCAGCATTAAGCTACTATTTCACGCTGGTATTCTGTGAGAGCGTGGTCCTTCCCCGGTCGAGCCGACCCATTCGTGCTACAACTATACTACTAATAGCATGGCTCTACCACGTATAAACTTAAGCACTTGTATTCCTTGGCAACTGTCGAGTTTTGGCGGGAACTTGGCCATCGATGGACTGTCGCTCATGTGTTGTCGCTTGATTAATGGTTTGAAGTGGATTTTAATTCGTAAAAGTGATGTAATTTTGTGAATAAGTGCTTTGATATTGATATAAACCTCAAGTGATTTGATCGCTTGGGCGCCATTTAAACTTGAGTGGTTGTCGTCCTTTTGTCGTCATCAAAAGTCCGCTGAATTGAGCTGTCATCAAAATCTCCCAAAAACTTTGCATTGTGACGCATCAGCATATTGTGAAGAAAAAATATATAAATATTCTGAAAGACATGATAGACACAGAAGGGCTGGAACCCGGAGCAGTAAAGCCGGTTAAATAAAAAAATTGGCAATTGTCAAGCAATAACAATACAAAAATACAAATTATAAAACAAATTTGTTAATGTTAAATTCTTCCTAATACAATATGATTATGATCTCTTCATCGGATTCTGAAGATGACTGTTATAGTAACGTAGCACAAAAACTGGAAAAATTAAAAGGCAAATACCAAGATGACAAAATTGAAAGCACTAATCTTCTTGACGATTCAACTGATACAAAAGACAGAAAAAACAGTTTAGAGAGAAAATCAGAAGATAGTGTTGATAGTATTTATGATGTCTTAAAAGAAGATGGTGTACCTGATATTGAATTAGAAAAACTTTTACGGGCACACTCAAAACGTGTGACTCGTTCGTCAAAGAGAAAATCAATGTCAAGTTCTTTTAATCTTGATGAATTGTCTGTTTCAAGGGAACAAAACGTTACTATTGACATTAGTGATTCAGTACCAGGTAGAGGAAGTAAAAGAAAAACAAACAAAAATACAACAGCGAGTGTTGTTCATAGATCTCCTAGAGGTTCTAGCAGAGGTAGAGGTAGGGGTAGAAGTAGACGAACGACGAATGGCAGAGGAAGAATTAGTTCTGCTTATCCAATTTACAGTATTGGAAACACAGATGAATATCCTGATCAATCGGAAGAACAGACACTATTTAGCAACAATATAACACACAATGATGTTATACAGTTAGATAATAGTGACATATTAGATGAAAATGAAGAGTTGTCTGTTAAGGTCTACTGGCAGAGCTCAGAAATATTCAAATTCACATTACGAAAATTTCAAAAACTAACCACAATTTTCAGGCATTTTGCTGAAAAGGAAAAAGTAAACCAAGATAAATTGTTATTTACTTACAACGACCAAATATTAAAACCCGATGATACTCCTGATTCAATTAACTATAATATTGGAAAGTTCATTGATGGTGGCATTATTAATCAGGATGTGACAAAATTATTAAAAAATAAAAACAAAAAGGGAACCAGTGGACTGCAAATTAAATTTCAGTGTCAAAACTTAAAGAAACCTTTTGAATTAACAATTCAGCCGAATGATAAATTTTCATTAGCTATGACAAAATGTGCAGAGCACCTTGAGAAGCCCTTAAATAAACTAAAATTTGAATTTGATGGGGATAGCATAACAGGTAGTTTTAAAATTTCCATTTAAAAATATATATTTTTCTTTTTAATGCATTTAAACAGGAAAAAAGAGAGGTTGAGTTGTTTTTTCTCGTAACATATAATACTCGTGATTAGTTATCTTTTGTTTTACTTGCTAGGTGACTGGTAAGTGACAATTTATTTTACGGCATATGAGGCGGATATCTTGCATGAAACAAAAACAACTGTATTATTAATAAGGTTTTCAGATATATTTGACATTACTAAAAGCATCATAACATTAGTTCCAAAATTATTAATTACTGTGACAGCCTATTAAAGTAACTGCTAAACATAGTCCTGTCCCATAGATTGCCTCGTAGAGAAGATTTTGCTATAGTTGCTATGTCTGGCAAGTGGGTTGGCAACTGCAGTTTTTTTTTATTTTTAGTCGTTATTAAGAAGCTGCTGCCCATCTCCTGATATGTTTCCCTCTGTCGTCTCTTACGACATCCACTGGATGGTATGGAGTAGTGGATATTCTTACAAAGCCACTACTCGGTGGATTTTTTACTATCCCCTAAACAATATTTATTTATGTTAAAACCAATCTTTTATTGAGGGAGTTTTGACCAGAAACTATGTCGACCTACCAAATGATATGGTGTAGTGAATTCCAAGGAACGCAACAAAGCACGGTACTAAGACACCTGCATCCATTGGATTCTCACATGTCTTACTAGGTCATCAAGACTGCCACTCGAGAATCTTTCCTCCACATTGGTTGTTAGTTTTCAACTATATGGTCGGTACAGTGCCGCTTTAGCTTTCTAATTTAGCTATAAAGTTGTTAAAACTATTATAGCTAAAACCATTTAATTTGGAAATAGCTGTGAAAGTTCAATAAACTGTTAACAGAAGATAGTAACTGTTAATAGTTTGTAGAAGATAGAAGGTCTCAGTTCTTTTTTTTTTTTAAACTAACACCTATCTTCCTTTCAAAGATTTCATAGTAAATAAATATTTCCTAAATTATATTTATTTACATTGATACCTACTATCTTTTCTTAAATGAATTTTGGCTGGAAATTATGTCGACATGTGTCACCTCTTACCACATACACAGAATGTATATGATGTAGTGGAGTCTATTATGCTAACACTACATGACAAACTACTATTATAGCTGAAACTGTTTAATATAGAAATAGCTGCTGGAAGTGCAATAGACTATTCTTTGCATCTGTGGTCAACAGTTGTGTTCCATATCGAAGTTGACATTGGTGTTTGACATGTAATTTGTTCATTAATTTTTTATTTTAGCATTCATTATATTTAGATGTTATGCATTTATTTAAAGTTTCGATTCAATTATTAAAATCAAATATCAAATCTTAGGGTATATGACAGGGTGTTATTTTTACATAGTGTATAATTTGAAAGTCATCTATCATCTACATCTAATTCAGGAGCTTTGTGCTGTATGTTAATAAAACCCACAATTTGAATTCAAACTGTAATTCTGATTAATTAGTATTACCAAAATGTTTTCTAAATTTTTTTCAGGCACAATGACAGCTAGTGAATTGGAACTTGAAGGCGGAGAGTGCATAGATGTCAAAATAATTAGCTGATTAATATCACAATATTTAGTTGAAATTGTTTATGGGTTTTGAAAACTTTTATATAACATCACTTCTTAAATTTTTTTTTAGAGAAGCAATAAATACTTACTTGTAGAGTAATGTACCAAAATAATTTGTGAAAAAACTTGAGAATATATTTGCCATTTTAAAAACTTAAACATCAATATTACACCAACATACATATTCAATGTAGCTTAGGGTAGAGACCTAACATGAAACTTAGCACACATGTGACACAAATAAAACTTGACAAGCGGAGTTAATGGTTACCAATAATTTTAAGTGCTAATTTACCACCTGGTCAGTAGTAAAGGAAACCATTTTGAGGGAATCTGCATGTGTGAAAAATCTAAAACATTCCATTAGCATGAAAAATCTGCCAATTTGGACCAGTTTGGTATTTGATTTCTTAAATTTACGCGAACATTGAATAAAACTATTTTTTTATAGGATAGGGTGACAAACGAGCACACAGTCCACCTGATGGTAAGTGGTTGCTGCGGCCCATAGACATCTACATCTATCCTCGATCACAAATCAAAATGCAGATGCGTTGTCACCAGTGAGGTCTAAGATGGAATGCCTCGTTTCCAGTAAAAAGGGTCTCCGGTTCTCTACACTCACCACGCAAAATACAGCAGCATTAAGCTACTATTTCACACTGGTATTCTGTGAGAGCATGGTCCTTCCCCGGTCGAGCCGACCCATTCGTGCTACAACTATACTAATATAATTGCAGCATGAAATGTTAATTGACAGGCTGTTGTAGTACTAGACACGTTCACATCTTAGATACACAACTCCTAGTCCTTTTCCTAGCCTATGTTTTATGCTTATTTGATTCACACTGCGGCCATAAGATATCAGGTATTTATTCCTAGTCAATATTTACAATTTCCAAAGTATGAGATGGAAAGTCGGATTTCTCTTTCAATTTTACTTGGTTTCTTTAATGATTTAATTCTATTTTTAATCCTCATAAGTTGCTATTCATAACACGATTGTTTGTATTTTATTTAATATACGTTATGTTTATGTAAATGATATAAGATCTGGCAATGATAAATGTTTTTACTTTTAATAAATGTGTAATAATTTCTGTATTATTATAATTATATTCCTTTAAATTATTGATATTATTTTATTGTATTATAACATAGTTGTTACACATATTTAAAATGTTTAAGTGATCTTAATATATTTATATATATATATATTATGTGTCACGTTGTTTGTCCGCGATGGACTCCTAACACTTAACCGATTTTAATCAAATTTGCACACCGTGTGCAGTTTGGTCCAATTTGAGCGATATGATAGTGATTTTTAATAGCACATGACAAAGGGTCGTCGAAAAGGGCAGAACAACATCTGCCTTGCAAGCTAGTTATTTTGTAGTCTTTCATTATTTACCTATCAATAATAAAATTACCACATGAAATTTCTTCTATTAAGCATTTTCTAGTTCATAAACCAATTATTGATATAATATATATATATATATATATATATATATATATATATATATATGTGTGTATATGTGTATGTGTTTTATAAATTATTCCTTTTGTGGAAATTGTCACATGGTAGTCCTTTTTTACATTTCTTCCATATTCTGTAACATTATCTACTGTTTTAAAGAATAAATATTTGTATAACTTTTTAGCAAAACTGAATAATGTCGCATTTTATTAAGGTATTTTTGTTAATACATTTTGTCAATACATTGGAAAATTGCGTTGTTTCAAGTAAATAACTTTTATATTAAATGATAATCGTGAAACAGTTTAAAATTTTAGTTCGTTATGTTTTTGTAGTTTTGCCTATCGATCGTTAGGGCATAGTCAGCCTGTAGTATGAGGTATTACAACAGTGATGTTTTTGACCGACGTAAACCGTATAATACAAACCCTGAGTAAACAAAGCATCTAACTTATAAGCCCCGCACTTTGATATTGCGATGGAGCCTTGTCACAATAACAGCTGCGTGACTTCATACACCGCAAAAAAAGTACAGACAACAAAAACTTTAATCTTCTTTTCGTGTGAGGTGTTGCCACCTCTGGTGAAAAATGTTAATAACCTTGGGTTATAGGTATTTATATTATATACATATATTTATAGGTATTTAATTATAAATATTTTCTTTCTTCTTCACAAAATAATTGTCCACTTTAATAATCATTTCAAGAGCGCGGCTTTGTTAATTACTTTCTTACTCATTGTAACAGAATAAGTATGATAACGATAACAAAAATAAAACAGGATAACGAAAAATAAAAAAAGATAAAAAGCTATAAAAACACGTGGTTAGAGGTACTCTATACGCGTAAGCGCTGGCTGACCTTGCGAACGGTACCTACTGACAATTTGACTACGTCACTAAGATGGTCGCCAGTCGCAATATCAAAGTGCGGGGCTTATACAGCAAATTTTTGCGTATCAAGAATTAAAAAAATGTTTTTACTATATAGTAGATAGTATTTTATTTATGTATGCCAAAAGACCGCGACATTCTCATACCAAATCCTATCTTACACGAAAAATTGTTTCACGATATATTATATTGAAAATGCGTCAAATTAAGAGTAGGTAGGTACTCTCAACCAACGAGCATGTATGCGTAGATATATGGATGTAAAAGAAGCGAGAGAGGTGTGTCAGGATCGTGACAAAAGAAAGTCTCTGCCAACCCCTCTGAGTAACAGGCGTGAGAGTTTACGTACGAATGCAATTGATCATGACTTATCAATTGTGCATTTCTATATTTATACACATGTTTCCGTTTCGCTAAGCTGAGACATATCAACATCATAAATATTTATTTAGATATGTAATTGTTTATCTTATTCGTTAAATTATTTATCTGTTATATCTCAAGTATTTTATAAGTTATTTGTTCTTTCTATTTATTATAGAATAGGGTGACAAACAACTACACTGTTCACCAGATGGTAATTGGATGCTGTGATTTAAATACATCTACATCTATTCTCGATTAAGAGTCAAAATGCAGATGCGTCCCCCCTGAGGGCTAAGATGGAATGTCTCATTTTCAGTAAATAGTTTCCGGTTTTCTACACTCACTATTGGAAACACAGTAGCATAAATCTGCTATTTTACGCTGGTATATAGTTCTCCTCTGGTTGAAATCGACCCATTCGTAATACCACCATAATGTAGCTGTAGCGTGGCTCTACCGCGTTTGAAAATTTACTTATACGAATTTGTAGCTTTTAAAATGATTTAATTTGCAGTATAGTAAGACTACTCTTTCTCTGTCTCTTCTACCTTCTAGGATCTTTTTCATGTACTTAGGTGTTGTAAAAACCGGGGAAATAAATCAATATATAATGACCTCCGATAGATGATAGAATATAATATAAAAATGGACATATTTGCTTTTTTTTAGTCGAAGTCAAGTTAGTGTGCCGTTTTCGATGAAGACTAATGCTGTAGCTGTAGGATCCAACGACAAAACAAAAACAAAACCCCCATAACAGAGCTTCCACCATAAGGTGTGAGATCTTAAAAACGTGCCTCTACTATACGCTCTGCTCGTCTTCGTAGCACTCGCCTACTTCGTTCTTCACGGTACAGATATATTCTAACCCAGTCTTGAATCAGTCTTGAACCCATAACACAGAATTTCGAACGAAGCGAAGTTTGGCAACTCGCTGCTCACGGATTAATTTAGAGCTGCAGGCTGGGTGATAACCCCGTATATTGGGAGCGAGAAGCCTTTTTTTTGATCATCCATAAACTAATTTGCTAATTTTTTACTTCTTCGAGGTAGTTTATTAGGTCCATATACGAAGATTTGCGATTTCTCAGTCTGACTTATCAGAAAACGACTACCCCGTGGTGCGGTACATGGCTGTCTTCCAGAACCAAGCCTCCTCTTGACAGAAACGGTCTCTTGATAGCGCTGCCAGATCCTTTGGACTGTCAAACCACTCGCTTTAGCCTCTGAACCACGAAGCATTGACTGCAACCCTCCTCAAGCAGCGCAATAATTTTGCTGACTTATCACTATCTACCATTTTAGAGACCGCTAAACAGCAATTACAATAGAAGAACAAATATCAAGGAAATGAGATAATTCAATAAATATAGGCTAAAAGTTATTTAGAGTTGATATTAGCTTTCGGGAGCTCGCGGCACAAAAGGTAAAAGATTGCTTTAAAAACCAGCCTTTGAAAAAAAATCAAATTTGGAACGTAACGACTTTATTAACCATCACGGCACCTTTATAACCGTATTATATATTTTTTTCTGGTAATTAGTATTCGTTTTTGTAAATGAACGTATTTAGTTCACGAGTGTGTGCGCAAACACAGTTGCAATATATTCTTTCACTGTCATAGACCGATGCGATGGATTCCGACACCTCCGTAAAGAGATCAAACGTAGGGCCAACGGCTTTACCTAATTATCGAGGCACGGGGGTGAATGACCCCCAAATTCTGACGCCGAGCTGTTATTAATTTTTTCTTGACAGAAAAACTCAATCACTGGTTTCTGGTCTGACCCGGGATTTGAATCTGGGACCCACATGATGTGCAGTCACGCTTACGACTACTGGCCAACGAGGTAGCAAATGAAATACAAATATTAAAGTAATATGTCACCCCAACTCCAGCACATAGTTAATATTAATCTGGAATTATCCAGATATCTATGATATAGATATAGATGGATATCTAAATTATACAAATGAGACTGGTGACTGTTATATATTACCCATACGTTGATATTTTACGTTTTATCAAAATAATTATGTACTTAAACGCCTTGTTCAAATGTAATTCATCACTAATTATTGATATTGTTGAACTTAATTTACTAGCGGAAATTAAAGATAAGTCAAAAAAAATTCTTATGTTATTTTTTACTACTTTTTGATATAATTGTACCTCACAGAGCATATTGCAGTGTTGCCACAATCAGAAAATGGATTGCCTAAGCACTTTACATCTACGTTGATA